GCGATATCGCGCAAATCAGACTTCGAGGCAAGACACCAGGATAGTGTGTCTCGTGCGAAAGCACAAGTTGAGTCGTCAACATTCGCAGCCATGAAGGCCTACCATGTGACGAGCTCAATGGCCTCTGATATAAAGGAGTGTTACAGTCAGGACGAATTTTGTCACCTGCTGTTATATCATTTTGGTGGACGAAAGGTGACCCTTCCGTCGCACCTCAAAGCGAAACTAAAACTCTTTAGTTACAGTGATGGCCTATAATGACATCAGCTGTCACCCTGTGATCCCTTAAGAATCTATGTCCCTTATGACACAGATCTCAAGTTGATGATACTTCACGAGTGCCATGATGCGCCATCTAGTGGGCATCTGGGCCGTGAGAAGACATTCTTACGAGTGTCAGAGAAACTTTTGTGGCCCCACTTATACCGGTGAGTGGTAAACTATATTTGCTCTTGTGAAGAGTGTCAGCGCATTAAGCCTGCACCTTCTAGCAGTGCGTCACTGAAGCCACTGCCGATTCCAACTGAATGTTGGAAGTCGGTCAGTTTGGACTTCATGTTTGGCTTACCGCCTGACCATAAAGGCAGGACGGGGCTCGTCGTCTTTGTAGAAATACTGAGCAAGATGGTGCATTTGGCACCATGTAGCACCAAGATCTCAGGAAAAGAGGCTTCTCTCTTGTTTCTGGATTATGTGTATCGACTAAACGGGATGCCCGAGTCCATAGTATCGGACCGGGATCCGCGTTTTACGTCGGATTTTTGGTGTCATGTGTTTGAGCTGCTAGGTAGCAAGCTCCACATGTCAACAGCCAATCATCCCCAGACAGATGGCCAAACAGAACGGGCCAATCGATTCGTGGCGGATGTGTTGCGTACTGTAGCAACTCCCAAAAAATGGAGCAAGCAATTGCCATTCGTGGATCTCTCTATTAATAGCAGTGTTTACGCCAGCACGGATAAAGCACCGTTTTATATTAACGGACTACGCCATCCTCGGACGCCATTCTCGTTTGTGCGCAGCCTGATTCTTAGTGGGGAGGGCCCCTCACTTTGCTCGGTGCGAATGCCAAAAAGAGCCAAGGTTGCCCTAGTGACACTGCTAATTTAACAGTGGTCACGACACCTATAGGTAGGCACGGCAAGAAATGCCTGTGCTCCTTGACGATGACACTATAGTGTTATCAACAGCGTCGACCCATGACCTACCTCTTAGGGGTGTCATAGGCGAGCTGGATGCTAAAAGCGTGAGCGAAGCTCAGCGCTTTGTGGATGAGCGATTATCCATCACAGGTAAATTCCGTTACGAAAATGGCAAGCGCTCAGGACAAGCAAAAAGAATATGCTGACCAACATGGTCGCAAATACAATGAGCACTTTAGTGTTGTGGACAAAGTGCTATTAATTCCGGCTACCCTACCTAAACATGCAATTTCTGTACTACCTGGTGGTACTACTAAGCTATTGAGCCGATTAATTGGGCCTTTTACAGTGGTCGATTAAGGTTGGAGACCTAAACTATAGGTTCACTCTCCCACCCGAAATGAAGACGCACCCAGTTGATTACGTGGGTCGTTAAAACGGTATGTTGATTCAGAAGAGATCACATATCCACATCGGTCTAACGAGACCGATGATGAATTCGACTTTGAGTCGAGCGTCGTTGCCAACCAGGCGACAAGGAAGGCGAGCGACTTCCCATATACGAGATAGACAACAGAGGACTCGGTGATCGAGGAGGTTTCGCTTTGGACGCGGGTCTCCCATCACCAGTCGCTTGTATATTTTCAAACGGGTCTTCAGGCGGTTTTACCCCTGACGATCCCCCGTATTCACGGAGCGTAGATCCGAAGTCAGTCGCGAGACTTGACTCGAAAGATTCGCCACCTCTTTCTTCAGCGCAGCGATCTCCGCCTGCGACTGAATAGAAGCAGAGTAGGCAGCCGCGGATAGTTGGGCGTAACCTCCGCTCCTATCGGTCGCCACCTGTGCAGATGGATGCGGGTGGGATCACACGCTTCCTTTATTGGAAGGTTGTTGGCCCACCGCTATGTGAGGCAAAGGCTTCAGATCCTTGTTCAGTGGGAGGGTTACCCGAAAAATTTTGACTCTTAGAAACCGATCGACGCGTTGCGTATCGACGTACCCTAGGCTGGTGGCTGTTTATGACCAAAAGCACCAGCTTGCACTCGCTCTGCTAAGTCCTGATGAAATAGCAGGGGTAGCGTGACGAGAAGGAGCTGGGGGTATGATATCACCCAATATATTTTTCGACGCGTCATAACGAAGCTGATTCGTTGCGACGGCTGTTTCACTGCATGCGGTATAACACGGCGCAGGAACTATGCTTCGTATTCGTCGGTTGTTTCGTTAGAACGCAACACGACGGGGAAAGGGAAAGAACGACCTAGTGCTTTGCCCTGCCGTTTCCGTAATGAAAAGACGCTTAAAAGTTATTAGCGTCAATATAGGAACGCCTTACAAGCGTCGCAATATTACCACTCGAGCGTGACCACTCGGATGGTGAAGCATTCGTGGCAATCCACCACTCACGTAGCCGCCCTCGCGACGGCGAGCTAGTGAGGTCGACTGTGACGTCGAATGTGCTTTTTGCTCATCCTCACCTGAGTCTGACTCTCCATTATGGATTGTCAAGACATCAGATGTAGGGTTAACAGAGGCGGACGATTCAGAATTGCCGACCTGCTGTTGATTTGCGGCTGTTTCTTTCGAAGCAGAGCGCTCAGTTGTGGTCGCTGCGCTCGTTGGCGCAGATGACGAGGCATGACCCTCGCTTTCAGGAAGCATGAAAGCTTCCTGAAGATTGGGTGTCTCAAATGATGAAGACAAATGTCCCATCAGAGCCTTGTGCTCATCACCACTTTGGGTTGATGGGAATGGCGTGTTCTCATTGTAGTCAACAATGAGAGACAAGTCTTCATCCACACCATAGCGGGATGGACCAGTTCTCTCTGCTAGCAAGCTGACATTAGATGTCGGCATTGCCACCGAGACACTTCGCGACGGCTGCGTATTATCACGGCGCGTGCGCTTGCTTTTGTTCTACATGGGCGCCTTTGCAGGAGACCCATCAGGCTTTCCACGTTTCAGTGGCATCGTTTCTTTATTCAATGTTTTACAAAGTATAAAAATCGTCTTAAAGAGGGAAATGGTGTAACGGGCAAAAAAGTTACACGGTTCGTTAAGTATCAAATACTTAACGGGCAGGCCTAAATGAGTACAAGGTACCTTAGGCCTCCTACTTGGGTGTGGCACATCAATGCGACCCACCCTCGTGAATGTGATATCCATGGATGGATTCACATTCAACAAGAATGACGCCATTGGTCATGGTGACGCTTCAAATAGACGTCACCTGCGAGCTTGAATATATTTTAAGCTCGCACGTAGGGATACGCTTCTAAAGAGACGCGTATCTAATCTTTGTATAATTAGCCAATCAGTAGTTAAACTTATATTTAGTTTAAATCTATCTAAATATAAACTAGTCTTGAATCGACTAGACATCGCACACTGCGCTCGAGAAGCTGTATAAGCTTCTGCGTGTCGTAAGTGTAGCTCTTGTCTTAGCAGTTCGTTGCGCGGTTCAATCCAAAGCGACCGGCAACGGTTGGTACAGCGCTTCTTAGCGCCGACCAACACCAACACCACCGCACGCGGAGGTAAGACGGTATAACCGCTTCCTCGCGCTGCTTGAAGGTGTGCCCGCCTAGTACGTGGCAGCTTCATTACGAAGTGCCCGTCTCCACTCTCACTCGAAACTAGTGTAAGATAACCTTTGTTGTTTGCCTTGCGCAAGAACTTGAGCGTCTTGGATCCAAGCGTTCTCACCAAAATGTCGACTAGCTGATACTTGGTATCCACGACCTTGATCGTTGCACGCTCGACGTCTTTTGGAATGCATTGATGTAGAATCATCAACGTGCTTGGTCTGGCGTTGTATGCATTCTGCGCCATTGGTTCCATGTCGGTCAGTATTGCGTGCGTCCACAGCACTTCTTCAGTGCACAAATCAACGCCATCTGGTTGCCTTGCGCTGAGCCGAATGCAACCGTTCGCTGAAAGTTGGACTTGGACATCAGCGGAGCATTTACGATAATCACGACGATGCGATATGAAATGCCTGTCGTTGGTGTCACTTGGATGTTAAAGGCGAAAGGGCACCATGCATTTGGTGTTCATGAGCCCATTATCCCGTGTTGTCATCGGGTACTTCAGGACGTCAGTAGCGGCCTATCAGTGCTGCTGCCCTAACTTTTGTAAAAATCTTGATGCCTGCGTCCTCTCTAATGAAAGTCCTGCCTGGTACATGTGTTAATGTAGGGCTGACATCCGGCCGTACGGTCGTGACTGCATTTCAGTCCCCATGTCAACAGCTTCAGATGACTGTATTTTCGTTAACCTCAAGCCTGTTGTGCATGGATTGTCCACGGGTTTTGGCGTTCCGCTGTTCGAACCGCTGCAAAGGCTTTTGCATAGTAGATCGGTCTTCAAAGCGACCGATTAGGGCTTTTAGAATATACGTTACCTGTGTCTGTCGCTCCTCGCCGCTTTGATCTTCACCTAAATCACTACTTCATTGGCCCAACTCAAATGTAACATGCGGACTGCCGTCGACACTTGCGTTCTATCGTTGGTGGCCGACAAGTAAAAGAGTAAAGCAACTTTGTTGCCAGGAAGGGCTGCATGTATGGCCGAAAGTTGGAACAAAGTATATACGCCTTCCATAACAAGAATACTTCTTCGAAGTGATTTCGTGAAAGCAGGGCAACAAAGGTACCAGTCAACGGTTGTTGCATGCAGAGATAGCTTGGCGCAATCAACTTCAAATGCCATCGATTAACTTTGCTTCGTTTTACAGACAGCGTCGTGTACGAAGACTCCGTATCTATTTGTCGAGCATGGTTTGATTGCGTGTTGTACAATTTGTACCTCGGACTTGTCCAAATGCATTTGTAATTACAATCAGAAGCTTCACTCTTAGGCGTGCTCAATCCCCTCGGACCACTTCCCGCCTGTACCAGTTGGGTCCATCGGATCAATAGCACCATGATCAAGTCCAGACTGCTTTCGTCGCTTGCTTGCGTAGTCTTTAGGACGCTCGATCGTTGGAGCAGGTCGTTTAGACGACGAAGAATTTGAAGCTGCATCACGGCTAGCTGAGGGCGATATGTCACTAGTCGCTTTATCGTCTGACCTCACACTTGCGCTCGAATGTGCTTTGGCTGGTTTAGTCTTTCCACATTTTTTCAAAATACTGTCAAGCTTTGCTTTCGCCTCAATAGCTTGGCCTGTTGTAAATCCCATAGAATGCATGTTGTTAGAAAACAAGTGCGTCAGACATACCCAAGTATCAGACAAGAAGGAGGCCCTTGACGCTTTCCTACCTAATGACACACTCCGTGCAACAGGTCGTGTCCACGTCGTCTCGTTCGTCATTTGGTTCCAATAGTAAACATCACCGCTCGTCGCATCAGGCACTTCTTTCCATCCACTATGTTAGCCCAGAAATAAATTTACACCAAGCCACTGTCAACTCTGAGCTCAAAACCTAGCAGCAAATATCAAACCATCACGTACACAGCCAATTGCCCGTCACCAGTATTGGAATCAACAGCTTCCACACTATTTGTCTGAGAGTATCAACTCCATTAGTTGATATTTATCCACCAAAAGGTCCAAAACTAACCGCACCTGAATTGTCGAACTTCTAGGTCGCTCCCACACCGTCTTGTTGGTTGCCTGCATCGCACCAGCATACCGAGCCTTTAGTCAATCTCTCTCTTTCGCTATAAAACACCCTACTTATCTACAAATACCCACCTCGTTCCAAAAGTACGAGTCGCCCGAGACGGGATCTACCACTTCTTGCCATTCTTGATGTAGGGCGTTATATTCTGTCGTTCTCGGTTCGAGTCGATAACGCTCCGTCATCTGCTCGATCTGGTGCGTCTTCTGAAGCTCCTGTGCACGCCGCAATGCCACTGCATGCAGCGTATTATCTCTCACTCGAGGGTCAAATTTGTCAGCTGCTGACATCTCCTGAGGCTGTCCACCACCCACACGACGCTGTGCCACACAAGACGTGGCATTGGCTACCTGTCTCTGTCGAAGTTGCTGCTGCTGAGTCAATTCTCGCTGGCTCGGACCGCTACCAGTGGCCTGTAGATGCTTAAGAGCTTCGGCACGGGTCTTTTGAGCTGCAAACTCTTTCTTGAGTCGCTCAGCGATGACGGCCGACTTGGGTGGCATTCCTAATTCTATTGGGCGTTTTGTTCTGTCATTTTTGCTCTGTAAGTGTAGGGGCATATAGTGGTATGGGTAAATGAATAGCAACTCGATTTATCGAGCATTTGAAAATTGAAGTTGCTCTTAAAATGCGTAATTCTGCGACCTACAAAATACCGCTATCAACTAAACAATATCGTATCGAACATCGGCATATTATTGTCACGCCATCGTTATTTTTGATTATGGTTAGTGAATACTTCACATGCATTGATGAACTATGGGCGCTGCATGCACGCGTCGAGGTCTGGAAATAGGCTTTGGAACGTTGCGTACTGGTAGCTCACTGCAGTGATGTTTTCCACCATAGTCGCTAATTGTGCGTGTAATGTCGTTACAGACGAACTACATCCGTCCACTGTGTTCCAATTCTCGTGGGGAGATGCAGCTGTACTTCGCTAGCATCGACGAGCTCTTGGAGCGTAAACGAATGTCCGCCGAGTATGACGACTACATGTCACTTATATCCTACAGCGATTGAGAGTGCAAGTCAATACCAAAGTTCCACTTCACTGATCACAAAGTTTGATCACCATTGTGTTGAGCGCTGTAAACTTACCGCGGTGTGACTCTTTGGCGTAGTGCCAATTCGGAAACTGCAAGTCGTGCAGCACCAAGCTGCTACGGCAGTCTAAAGAGTCAGGGACCCAAGTTCAAGGCAGCTAGACTCCTCAATATTCAAAGTACTTTGCCGTTACAACTTACACAAACTACAGACAACACTTTGAGCCCGACCTAGATAATTGTGACTAGAAGCTAATGCCAAGGCAGAGTACTAGTAGTAATACAGAATGTACGACCCAGTTCTTGAGGAGTTTAACGAATGAAAAGTCGTCGTCCTCTACACACATAGGGTCAATGGATTCTCTCTAGCGCCCGTAGGATAACACGACATGCCTCAGACGTCATTGCAATGCAACACTTTTCAGCGCTCCAAGCATAGAGGTCTTTTACATACGTGATTTGTACGTTCCCACAGCGCAACATCAAATTTAGCCACTATATACGATCACATTAATATATCTTTGTCAATAAATGTATAATGGCATATGTACCAAGAATTGCTTTCATTTCTCCTCCATTCAAACGATGGCAATCGTTCATTGGATTATTTTTACATTTAGCCAATTGTATGCTTTCAAGTGTATGCACATATAAAACTCAAGATAGCTACTACGTCCAAGTGTAGCCTTGCCTATCTTTGTAAAGAAGAGTGCACTTTACTCAAAGCGCTGACCATTGGTCAGTGTCAACAAAGCCAAGCTAGATGGGAATACGTAGTCTACAAAAAGTAGGTGTCAGATGTTTTTTGACATCGACCAGTTATAACAAAGTCACGTATTTAATTCGAACTTCAACTTTTTGCATTTCAAATATGTACAAAACATTTATCGTTTTGTAGTTGAATTGACAAAGTTCAAGTGCGCATTTTGCAGATACTTAACTTCAACATGGGACGACGAACGCGCGAAGAGAGTGGTGCGTGACAATCGACGTCTCAATCAATTCCAGAATACTATTCAGCTTATAAACAAAATCTCTTGTAGATTGCAACGTTGTCGTCAACGGACAGCGTGTGAAGTTACCACGAGGCGGTCAAAAAGGTGCTTGGGTTCAATGAAATGGTTTAAAAGCAGATGGAAAAGTTGACGTACCTCGTGTCTAGAAACAGGGCACGACGATGACAATGGAAGCTGGAGAACATTATTGCAGAACTTACACTTCTTGCTGGACAACGAGACGGAGGGAGAGGCACTCACGTGGTGTGGCAATGGTAAACAATTTCTCATTCAACGGACACGAGAAGTTCGACTCGCGAAACAACTGGGACTCCGAGTCTGTTCGCTTCATCAGGTGCTCGAGACGCTCAATTTTGAGTGTCAGGAAGCAGATCACTGGAACTTTACAATTTATCGTCACGATTGCTTTGTTCTCGGAAGACCGGAAAAGATTGAGCAAATACCAAGTCATAACATGCCTCTATTCAGCACGGACAAAGACGTTGTAATGCCAAGTGTCGCCTACAGCTCGGCATTGAAGCCACTGGAGGTAAGACTGAGTCTCTCTGACATACGCTCACAGTCGTGGGAGGTCACTATTGCACCCAGTGTGTTGCCCCATCCAACGTTTGATGCCACAGACGTTTCCTGTTATCACGAGAGTAGCAGCACTGAAAATTCATGGGGCGACATGTTCGACGAGTCAGACCAGGGAAGCGACCACGACATGAATTCGCCATTGTGGTGGTCACAACGAAGCGACTTTTCCAGTATTTGCACGGACGATCTGTCAGACATGGACACGCTTTCTCAAATTAGCACGTATTACACGTAGCTTAGCCAGGATATATAAGCTTTAGTCAGGCTTTAACAATACAACAAGAACGCGAGGGGTCATGGAGTTATAAAGTCATAAATGTATACACCCAATCAAACAGTGCAGTTTGCATCAAGACTCATACTCTGGTCAATCATGTGCCAACTAGGGAATCGCTTTGATTTGCACACGAAGTATTCCATATACTTTACATCGAGTTCTTGCGCTGGAAATGGGTGGTAGAGTTATCAGGGTCCGATCGCTCGCCGCTCAAGCTTTCGTCCTCAGTCGTCACCACCTGCACTGAATTCAACGGAATCGCCATATCTGAAACAGCGTCGTTGGTGTTAAGCGGCAAAGAACCGTCGTTAACGTCGCCTGCAACGTCAACTCCATAGTAGTCGTAGATGGTCTTGGCTGTGACCTCCGTGTCCTTGTGATTGAGGTCCTTGTGGTACGCTTCCAGCGTGAACCAGATCAGCGGCACAATGTACAGCGCCGAGAGCACATCAAGCGTATAGTGCTTACGTGAAGCCACAATCAGGAATGCAATGGCAATCTGCACGCTCACCATGATAGCAAGTCCAAACTTGTTGGGCCAGTATTTCCACATCGTCAAAATGAGCGTCACGGTGTAGATCGTATGCGAGCTGAACATCAAATCTCCGCACCCGTTGAGCGAGTCGATTCGTGTAAATAACTGGCTAATGCTGGGCGGGTTAAATTTTGGGTTGGGAATGACACACGGCACTGGATCGTTCGGGTTTGCCGCCAAACACGCGTCGTTAAACTTGAGCTCACAGTGATCGGCTGGGGATGGAAGAGCCGTCACGAGAAACGAAATGATGCGGAAGACCTGACAAATGCTGAGCTGCAGCAGACAACGTTTCATCACAATCACAACATAGCGTGGACGGCCGGGTTCCTGTTTGAACAATGGAATCGTCAACACCAATATAATGGCTGGAGCAAAGATAGCGGCGAACACGAGAATTTCCGATATGGATGTAGCAAAGCCGTGAAGTTCCGGCATGAGTTGGAAGCCCAGGTCGTAGAGTGTGAAACGTTGCTCGATCGACAAATAGTGGCCTTGAATGTAGTAAGCCAGGTTGTGGAAGATGGCATGGACGTACTGCATGATGGTGCACGGCAAGATAAACTTCCACTCCTGCATAAGCAGCTGAATCTCAATCCTCATATATTTCAGAAAACCTTCTTTGTCACGTAACTCCCATTTTCTCCCCATTGTCGACTGGAAGAGGCTTTCGCTGGCTCAGATCGCTTGATTGGCCTAGCGAATGCAAGGAATATATGGAACTGTACAATGAAAAAAGCGGTGGTAGAGGACAAGGTGAGTTTTTATGTAAGGTAAAAACAGACTTGCAATTCAATATCTCCCTGCTAACGTACTTCGGAGCTGTGCGGAGAGTCCTCAGAAATTTAATTTTTATAGTCGTGAAACGGTGTGGTTGCTGTATAATTGTAAAAAGTGGTAAGAGTGAGGACGGGATTAAAATAGATAAAACTGTCACATACGGTATTGTAGTTGAACTGGCTTGTTTATGTGCTAAATTTTCGTTTCTCTACCACCATAGGACAGAGTTGTAATTTCCGTAGCAAATCTCAATATAGATTATGTGTGACGTTAGTTTGGACCGCGCAATTATAAAGCCATTTTGGGCGTCTTTCCGTTCCATACCGAGCAAAGCGAAATAGGAAGAGACATCATCAGGGTTGCAAAATTCCCAATTTTGGCACGATTGACTAGGCAGCAAGCTCGCGCAGATTTTTACGACTACTAAATATCACTTGTCGGATCATTAGCTGCCGCCTATAAGAACGTCACGTCATGTCGTGACTCAATTGCGTGTACGGCAGCGCTGCCTCAATGAAGATGAGGAGGGAATGCGATGTAATTTGCAATCTGAGGATTCTCTGATATCCAATTGGTACTGGTCATGTCCTGAGAAGTTGACGCTATAGAAAAGAAGTTATGACTATCGAGAGGCTGTCAATCGAGAAGTGGTGATCAGGTTAAGGATAGGTTTACTATGATTGCATTATGAAAGATCGTGGCTGGCGTAGTAGCCTATTTATTTGCTGTCCTGACGCGATGTCGGATGATATGCTGTTTTTTGCTATCAGCGTCAAGGTTCTGAAGACTATGGCCAGATGAATAGAATGAACAACCCTACGACTACCAGCGTCGAGGTTTTGAAGACTACGGCCAGATGGATGGGATGAACAACCCTATGACGCTATGAGTGTCATCTTGTAATTTATGTAGCCTAATGTATTACAAGATTACTCTTATAGCGTCGTAGGGTTGTAACATGGGCACACAGGAGATTAAATTGGATGTTGATGAGTCACATCTGTCGTGATATTGACAATTAGAGAGGTAAAGGAAAACTTAAAGAAGGAAACAATGTTCTTGGCAGCTAACAGCTCGCCTTTTTGCTTATTGGCAAGCCGAATATTTATCTGAAGTGACCGAATATGTCCACTGCGGTTATGATAACTCACAAAGTTTGTGACCCGGATACAGCAGCTTTCTTATATAAAGTGGACGGAGACGTCATTTCTAGATTGCTAGATCTCTGACGGCGAGCAAGCTGTACCATGTTTTCCAATATACAATATCTTACATACAGCATATAATGATAATGCACTGCCTAAACGCTACGCTTCCGAGATATTGCCAGATGAACACCTTTCTCGGAATGTCTGCTTGCAGCTATACCAGCTTTTCTTGCAGCCGACACCAGATGGGTTTGTGAATGGAACACGTTGCGCTGCGCGATGGAATCAAATTGCCTGCTCTAATGTTTCACTTCCAATTGTGCTTCATTGGTTGAAATTCGAGCCGATTTCTACTATTGGTTTGTATGGTTGTTGCGCAAACACCAATCGTCCAGCACCACAACTTGTCACTTCATTCGTCGAGTGTATCAATTAACCAGCCATGACCACGTCTGTAGGAGCCAAAGTGTTGGCCGAGGTGTACCGCCTGCATCACATTCCGCTGCCGCCAATTACGCTCCAGGCGCTACTGAAACGCGGACCTGTGGCCAGTCCTGCCATCGTCGGATCTTTTCAGACCGACCCACAAGCTCTGACCAAGTGGCGCGAGTTGAATGCACCCGCTATTGTCACGTCAGCGCAGCTGTTACACCGAGAAGTGCCAATCCGCATTGCACGGCGCATTGTGGACCTTGAGAATCTGCCGGATGAGCTGCCGCAAGCCAAACCTATTGTGTCTCTGCGTGAACAGCTCCTTAGCAGTTTCCATCAGCTTATGAGCTGTCCGCTCCCTGCCAACCTCTCGGATGAGAGGGACTTTATAAATCTTCACCGCAGGATTCGACAGAAACACGGAACTATGCACGGCAATATCGCAGAGGCGGTACAGGCTCTCGAGTATGAGCCCCAGGGACTGAGTGAGTCGCTCGATAACTTCTACAATTCCCGCATTGGCATCCGCATGCTAGTAGACCAACACATTGCCGCTCAGACGCCAAAGCCTGGATTCACAGGCGTTGTCAAAGACGAATGTTCGCCCGTCAAGATCGCCCAGGAAATTGTGGACAAAGTACGTCCGTTGTGGCAGAAGAGTCTTGATGGCGAGTTACTGCCTGACATTATCGTGAGTGGCGATGAGAAAGCCACCTACCGCTACATCCCGCAGCATATTGAAATTATCTTGACGGAGGTGTTTAAGAACGCGGTGCTGAACAGCGTTGCTGCGGCCAAGAGACCGGGAGCTACCGCTCCGCCGCCGGTTAATGTGCTGGTTTCGGGTGGACCGCACGGTGTGTGCGTCAAGGTGTCCGATATGGGTGGAGGCTTGACCCGTGACGAGGCTAACGCTCTGTCGGACTACTACCGCACGGCGACATCTCCATCTTTGCGTGGATATGACCCTGTCGCGGAGGCCATAGAGCAACGGGCTAGCGGATTGAACTTTTCGGAGTCGTTTGGCCTGCGTATTGCTCAGCTGTATGCCAAGTACTTTGGTGGTGAGCTGGCGATCATGCCCATGGAGGGACACGGTGTAGACACGTATATTTACATGAACTGCCTCACCGGCGCCTCTAAGCTCAAGTAAGATAGTTGATTCAGCAGCAGCAGCAGCAGCAATTGCATTGTTATAATAATGCTTGCGTGACTTAACATCTTTTAAAGACATGGTGATCATTAATAAGTGCTGACAAGACTGAACGCTTTTCACCAATTTAATTTCTTGCGAACACATCTGTATTGACGAGCGGTCGGTGTTCGGAAAGCAGCAGCTATCCCATTTCGTAAGCTAGTTAGATCTTTAGATGCATCCACTCAAAGTAAAACATCAACCTTATGCAAAATTATACTGCAAGTGGCGTAAAGATTATCGTCCACATAACGCATATGTGAAGGTATCGACTTCTGAGCAACCAAATTTATGCATATCCAATCTTTCACTCGCAGTAAGGAGTGTATGTCGTTGAAGTTGTCTTTTTATTCCACTTAGCAGGTAGCTCTCAAAAATGTGGGGTCCACAACAATTAACATTTTTGTTCGAGAAAACAAATACCGGTATCAGTTGTGAAAAATGCCGACACTAACTGACGACGAACAGGAACTTATCCAGAAGGACCGTGAGGCGAATCCCGGGTGTTTCTATTCCACAGCCTTCTCACAATCTTGTCGATCTGTTAATGGTGACAATAAGTGTGAGATTATAAAAAAGATATTTCGTCAATGTCCGAACTCCCAGAAGGAGCTTATTTCGAACCGGAAGGAGATTACGGAAGACGAACATGGCGGTGAAGTGACTGCTGGAGACTTTTTCAATCGGGAAAGAATGGATTTACAAAAAGGGTGAGTGTAGGTCATCAGAGTTTTTGGAGTTGTGGAGTTAGGATGTTTTGTGCTAATGTGTCGATTTGGGCAGAGATGACTCGGAATTTGGTGCATTTTTCCAACAACGGTACGAGATATAGGTCAATTGGCTCAACGGAAGTGGGATGTGAGGGTTATGTTGCTGACTTATGGCTGTCTTGTATGCAGAGGAGATGATTTTGAGGCTCAGATGAGCCCATTTGACTTTCTTCGCCAAGAAATGTTGCGTCCGTTTGAGGGTAAAGTGAAGAAATGGTAAATGGGTAGAGGTGAAAATTGCTCTTATTGTTTTGTGGTGATGGTTGTATGCTGCAGACTTGTTTGGTGGTATTTTGCTGGGTCGTGGTGACTCGAATCCGTTTGAAGGCTTAGAAGGAGAGTTCGAGCGGATGCCAATGCATCCACCATCGCCAACGCCACATCCACCGTCACGACAGACACCCTCTACTCCTCCACACTATTCGTTCCAGCCGTCACAAGGAAAAGGCTCTAATGGTTGGTATCCATTTTGTCTCTTTTCTCTGATGCATTTGATGCTTTTTGCTAATAAGACGTCTTTTGATTTTGGCATGCAGAGGCCGATGGTCAAGCACGTGCACGAGGAAAGAGTGACATGTTTGCAGAATACTCAGGTCGAGTGGAAGAAATCTAGACGGCTTATGAAGCGATGTGGTGCTCAGCTCAAGTTGTGTAGTTGATTTATTGAACACTTGTGTTGAATAGACTGCCAGTCACAGCAATTTTGAACAAGCTTGTGGTGATCCTATTCTATTTCTTGTTACTGAGGACGACTCATACTTAGACATTGGAATGATCGCCTGCCTTCCCCATCCAGAAAATAGTTAATGCCACCCAAATTTGTTACAAGAAAAGGCTCTGGATGAATGTCGATAATAGTCATTTCATTTAAATCAATACATTTTTGTTCAAGTTCTCGTCAATAACCATCAAAAGAATGAACAAGGAAGAGAGTGAGCTAAAACCTTTAAAGGAAGTGGATCTAGATGATCTTCTCGATGGTAAAAAACACACAACCTCTTGTCTCTTTCATAATCATTACACAACATTCACTCTTTCTTCTATAGATGCACTGAACGATTTTGCAGATGAAGTGAGTGCCGTTCAAGCCACTGAGGTCTCAAGTGTAAAGCAGGAAGCAGCAGCAGCAACGCAGAGCAATGAAGAAAACGGGATGCATGAGGTTAGGACAACAGTAAACAACACACACATGCAATCGCAGAGTGATGGTCTGATGCTTTTTATCCGTGGCAGAACATGGCCCAATTCTTGGAAGACGCACAGAATCCCGAATTCCAGAAGGTGCTTGAGCAGGCATTTCGAGAGCTGGGTACAGATGGTATAGTGAACTCAACTGTAATTTTTACTGAGAGGGCAGATGTTGACTGTGGAGCAATTGGTGATACCAATTTTTCAGCTGACACGGAGAAGATTGAGCAGCTATTGGGTTCGTTCAAAACAGACCCGACGTCCGATGAGACGGACGATGTTAATGCTGGTGTGGCCAAGACACTGCAGAATATGGCCAAGGCTGCAGAAGATATGGAAGATGTGGGTACGGAACAGGTTGAAGCAATGGGAGAAGACATGGTGTCTGAAATGATGAAGAAGTTTGAAGAAATGGGCGAAAAGGTACGGAGAATGATGCATTGAGTGGGTGTGGAGTTTACGTAAAGATGATACAGAACGAATGATGCTGCTGATGCTGCTGATGCTGCTGAATTGACAGAACGATTTCCACGACCTGGTGGATGGAATGATGCAGCAACTGCTGTCCAAGGATGTCATGTATGACCCTATGAAGCAGATCTGCGAGAGGGTGCGCTACAGTGTAGTCGATTGGACATTTATTGCTGCGTTAAGACTCATGTGACCTTTTGCTGTGTTTTGTAGTATCCCGAGTGGTTAGATGAAAAGAAGCCCTTGCTGTCAAAAGGAGACTATGAGAGGTTGGTTCTGTTTATGGTGAGCTTGCATTCGATTGTCGACCACGATTGGTAACATGAGTGGATAGATATGGCAAACAGTATCAATACTTCCAGCAGATTGTTGCTATGTACGAGTCGGAACCCGACAATTACGCTCGGCTGTCAGAGCTTATGCAAGAGATGCAGGAGACTGGCCAACCCCCATCGGAGATTGTGAAGGACCTTGCTCCAGGTAAACAATTTGTTGTACTGATTCTAGAGCGTACGAGCGCTAACACTTTTCCGGCTATGTTCCCAATAGGCTTGCAGTTTGATGAAGAAGGAATGCCGATCATGCCCAACATGGTTCGTCTTTAGGCACATTACACTTATAATTGGGTTCAAGTCTGACGTTGGTTTTGTATGCTGCTCTACAGGGCCCGGGTATGCCATGTACGTCCAATGTGTGCTATGTTAGTGCGATTTGTGCGCTTTTGATCTGATTGTCGTTCATCTTTTGGTGTAGTCGGTGGCGTTGGAGACAAGGAGCAGTGCTCTGTAATGTGACCAGATCGTATCAAACATTAGACGATCATTATAGGCGCTATTCGTCCGTAACATTGCGACGCGATTGCAACGTCATCTCCGCTATCTATAGCTTGTTCAGTCTTGATCAAAGCGCTTGCGTACTGTATAAAATGCGCTCAATGCACCATCGACACGATTTCCCTTGGCGTGTTGTCAAAAGTGTAGACCCACGAAACGTGTGTCATGTGTCATCGTAAAACCTTTTATTGGAGCTGGAATGGGTTACTAGTTAGCGCCATTTCACGGTAACGGTTTATTCTTGTGGGTAATGATGGCAATGTAGGGGAACATGCGTAAGGTCGATACGTGACGCACCATCAGATAAAGACAGCAAGACAAGGCGTCTTATATTCAGGTGTAGCAATTTCTGATCGTCTCCTGAAGCGGTTTGAAGACAGTGATATACATGATATAGAGCTCACTACCGTATCCTACAAGAAGAAGGCTCTTGCAGCGACAAAAAATCCACCGAGCGATTGTGAACTCGTATTCAAAGAGACAGAGAAGTGATTTGGAATCGGACCTACAGGTGTTCGCTTTCTCACTTTTTCTTACAATCATACAGCAGCCGCACGTTTAGTGTCGTTCCACAACGAAAGAAGTTGATTTCGAAGGACCCCCCCCCCCCCCGCACAGCTCGGAAGTACGTTAGCAGGGAGATATTGAACCTCGCATTCGCTAGGCCAATCAAGCGATCTGAGCCAGCGAAAGCCTTTTCCAGTCGACAATGGGGAGAAAATGGGAGTTACGTGACAAAGAAGGTTTTCTGAAATATATGAGGATTGAGATTCAGCTGCTTATGCAGGAGTGGAAGTTTATCTTGCCGTGCACCATCATGCAGTACGTCCATGCCATCTTCCACAACCTGGCTTACTACATTCAAGGCCACTATTTGTCGATCGAGCAACGTTTCACACTCTACGATCTGGGCTACAAGCTCATGCCGGAACTTCACGGCTTTGCTGCATCCATATCGGATATTCTCGTGTTCGCCGCTATCTTTGCTCCAGCCATTATATTGGTGTTGACGATCCCATTGTTCAAACAGGAACCCGGCCGTCCACGCTACGTTGTGATTGTGCTGAAACGTTGTCTGCTGCAGCTCAGCATTTGTCTGGCCTTTCGCATCATGTCATTTCTCGTGACGGCTCTCCCATCCCCAGCCGATCACTGTGAGCTCAAGTTTAACGACGCGTGTTTGGCGGCAAACCCGAACGATCCAGTGCCGTGTGTCATTCCCAACCCAAAATTTAACCCGCCCAGCATTAGCCAGTTATTTACACGAATCGACTCGCTCAACGGGTGCGGAGATTTGATGTTCAGCTCGCATACGATCTACACCGTGACGCTCATTCTGACAATGTGGAAATACTGGCCCAACAAGTTTGGACTTGCTATCATGGTGAGCGTGCAGATTGCCATTGCATTCCTGATTGTGGCTTCACGTAAGCACTATACGCTTGATGTGCTCTCGGCGCTGTACATTGTGCCGCTGATCTGGTTCACGCTGGAAGCGTACCACAAGGACCTCAATCACAAGGACACGGAGGTCACAGCCAAGACCATCTACGACTACTATGGAGTTGACGTTGCAGGCGACGTTAACGACGGTTCTTTGCCGCTTAACACCAACGACGCTGTTTCAGATATGGCGATTCCGTTGAATTCAGTGCAGGTGGTGACGACTGAGGACGAAAGCTTGAGCGGCGAGCGATCGGACCCTGATAACTCTACCACCCATTTCCAGCGCAAGAACTCGATGTAAAGTATATGGAATACTTCGTGTGCAAATCAAAGCGATTCCCTACTTGGCACATGATTGACCAGAGTATGGGTCTTGATGCAAACTGCACTGTTTGATTGGGTGTATACATTTATGACTTCATAACTCCATGACCCCTCGCGTTCTTGTTGTATTGTTAAAGCCTGACTAAAGCTTATATATCCTGGCTAAGCTACGTGTAATACGTGCTAATTTGAGAAAGCGTGTCCATGTCTGACAGATCGTCCGTGCAAATACTGGAAAAGTCGCTTCGTTGTGACCACCACAATGGCGAATTCATGTCGTGGTCGCTTCCCTGGTCTGACTCGTCGAACATGTCGCCCCATGAATTTTCAGTGCTGCTACTCTCGTGATAACAGGAAACGTCTGTGGCATCAAACGTTGGATGGGGCAACACACTGGGTGCAATAGTGACCTCCCACGACTGTGAGCGTGTGTCAGAGAGACTCAGTCTTACCTCCAGTGGCTTCAATGACGAGCTGTAGGCGACACTTGGCATTACAACGTCTTTGTCCGTGCTGAATAGAGGCATGTTATGACTTGGTATTTGCTCAATCTTTTCCGGTCTTCCGAGAACAAAGCAATCGTGACGATAAATTGTAAAGTTCCAGTGATCTGCTTCCTGACACTCAAAATTGAGCGTCTCGAGCACCTGATGAAGCGAACAGACTCGGAGTCCCAGTTGTTTCGCGAGTCGAACTTCTCGTGTCCGTTGAATGGGACAATGTGAGCCATTGCCACACCACGTGAGTGCCTCTCCCTCCGTCTCGTTGTCCAGCAAGAAGTGTAAGTTCTGCAATAATGTTCTCCAGCTTCCATTGTCATACTAGCGAAATATTCATTGCAATTACTCACTTGTGTCTAGAGGCTCATCCTCTAAGGAAAAGATACTCTCATCTTTATACTTCAGCTGGCTATAATGCTCCTTTGAAATGGCCACTACCCTCCTCTTCACTTGGAACGATGATATATCAAGCACTTTCACAAAAGGCTTTGAAAGCTCCGGATTGTAAGGCTCACTGATTGATCAACATATAAATGACACGGAACGTCAAGACCATGTGTGCATTCCCAACAACCACGACACACTACGTACCGTTTCAGTATGCCCACACGAAGTATAACTCGGCTTTCTTTGCAATCTTTTCGTTTGGATTGCGAGTCTCCATCCTTGCGACCACTCATGTGGATGCTAAGAATCTCGCAGACATTAAACAGAAGATAGTGATCGGCTATGCTGCCGGCAATATCTGCCATCACGAGCTCCCCTTTATACAGCTTTAGTGTGGTACTACAACAATAAAAAGTGAGGAGCGAAGCCCACATCATAGGAATTCACAACAAAATTATGCACATACTTGTCACTGTCACCAATCTCGGCGCTTGCCGCGAATACGTCTTCACTACCAACCCGCAGTGGTTCAAAGCCTGGTTCTTCTGGGTCCAGAAGTTGCTGTGAATAACTGACGTTAGCAGATAATCGAAGATACAGCTTGCTTCGAAAGCATTTGGCGAGTACGTACCTGAAGGATCATACACTCAGTCACCCATTGAAAGCCTTTAACGGGGATGTGTCGCATTGTCTTATAGTACCGACACGTCTGTAATTGTTACAAATACATGTTAGCGCCTAAGAATACAACTGACAAAAGAACGCAAAAAGTATCGTTTACCGGTGTGTACTCATCACACAGCATCACATCCACGTTGATACTATCCCTAGTTGACAAATTCTGATAACAATGAGTCAGGTGGTGAGTAGATGGGTAACGAACGAGTTCTACAGTCTTTAAGCTCACCTCGTACACAGCTTCTGCACCACAAGCCTTCAAGATAAATGCCATCAACTTTGCCTTGTCCTTTGTCTCTGATTTAGACATTTGAGCTACATCACTAGCGATACCAAAGGAGAGGCCTTCAAAAATTCGTAGCTGATCAGATACGTTCAAAGAGCAAAGAATTAGGGCTTACACATTCTTCTAATACATGACATTCGGGAGCTTACCTCTTTTGGAGGAAAACACTCGAATTTCCGAGTAGTGACAGAGTAGCCTATTGGAACTCGATACCCATCGAAAGGTATCACATGCCCTGCTTCAATGCAATCCTTGATCCAATCAGTATGGACAACAGGGATCCCACACGCAACAGCTTGCATAAACTTGCGCTTCCGCCACGATATAAGTGTCGCGATTACTACAGCCTTTTGGTTAGCTTTAAACAGCACGTCCTGGTAGCGCTCTGGGATTTTACCTCCATGTCCTTCAATCAGTTCTTTCAGATTTTTTTCACCATTCTTCACAAAGCCGGTCAAACAAAACTCGAATTTGTACTTAAAGAGAGTCCGAGATCTTGAAACGTATGTACGCTGTGATGGCACTGGTGTTAACGTCCATATTCGTGTTCGAGCTGTTGGTGTCGATGAGGGTGTTGATTGAGCGGATCGAGAGTTCCGTCGCACACGATGTCGCGGGGTCTGGGAGCTGCTTCCGTTAGATCGTTGCGAAGATGTATTGTTGTCCGGAGAAATAGCGTCATTATTACGTTTTTTGGCTATCGGGGTGGAGACGGTTTGGCACTGCAAATCACTGATTTGGGATATAGTTTTCGGTTTCTTCTTGTTTGATGGCAAATCAGGCTGCAACGAGGACATAGTTCTGCTTTTAGGACTCGTTTGATTGTCAATGGCAACTTCAGGGGCAGTGATATCGTCATCTGATTGTTGTGTTGGCGTTGAAGTAGGCAGACACACGGGTCTCATGGACGAATCAATAGGGCTTTGCCTGTTACTTCCAGTGAAGGCGTCAAGCCTCTTTGCCGCACGTGTACTGTTACCGGAAAGAATTGCACTGGAGTAAGGCTCACCTTCCTGTGACTCGGGTACAATGGAAAAAAACTCAAGGCTTCGAATAGATTTACTCTGAGAATCGGTCACATGTGTCTGACTTCTCGCCAAAAGTTCATCACTCTCTTTTCTATTTTGTTTCGAAAGAGACTTCGGCTTTACCACACACTCGTCCTCTGTCCAAAGCTTACTAGGCTGAGTAGGCACACATTCATCTTGATCGTCATCACTTTGACTCGTCTTCGTAATCTGCTCCACATTGTCTTTCGGATCAACGATAGTGATCAACTCGTCATTCACTTCACTTCGATCCGACTGTCCAACCCGGCAAGGGCTGACCCTCGGTGTCAAATAATCCTGCTGTGTCCCTTGTGATCCTTCACGGCTCGTCACTTCGTCCTCACCACTCCGCTGCGGATTCGTTCGACCTGATGTCGGTACAACAACCGAGTGTTTTTCTCGACTGTAATCAACGTTTGCAGCATCTGTGCGCTCACTGCTGGTCTTTTCATGCTTTCGATCTTCTTCTAAGACACAGTCTGCACCGTACAATATAGTGTCATTTTCAGAGGATGGGTACACTTCCGTGTCCGCATCGTCACGTCCTTCATAGTTGCAAGTCTCATCTGCATAAAAGGTTTCTTCAATAAGTGGCTGTGTGCACTCCAGCTCATCTTCATAATCCGTCTCTCGATCACTGTCTTCAGTAATAACGCTCTTGTCAATTTTCTCCTCATGTTCCAACATCCACCTCTTCTTCTCCACTTCATTGACAGTTACATCATTCATCAAGCACGTCGACGACGTGTACGCAGTCTGAAAATCACTTGATACCAATTCCTCACGATTTTTCGAAAACGCACGTATCACTTCATCCGTATCACGTAATTTCTCCTTTTTTCCATCCTCTTGAACTTGTGTAGTCTCATATTTATTCACCCTTTTCTGCTTTTTACGAGCTTTCCATGCATTATCCATAGACTTGAACATACTTCGAGGAGAATTTAGAGACCGTTTTTTCTCCTGGTCGGTTCGAATGGTCCATACCTCTGAAACTTGATCTTTTGTTGCCAGGTGTTTTTTAGTCTCAGCCATTAAAGTGACGGACTTTATTCCATTGTCATTGTCTGGAGGATCTCCAGTAAATAGGGTATTGAATAAATTGTCACTTGTAGAGTCCGTAACAGCTTGAATATCATCCATTTCTCTTGCAACATCGTCGGTTGTCACTTCCAGGTCCAGTACGAGCTTTAATGTCTCTTTTTTCGATTGTTGTTGCTCGGAATCGCTCAAAAGTCGTACGTCCATGTTTTTTGTCTTAGAAGGCACGTAAAACCCTAAAAAAGCATTCGGATCAGCGCTGCATTGCTGAGATTCTGTGGAACTGTCACTAAGGCACTTTAATGGGCTGTCAGGTCTTGCAACTGACACGTCAGAGAGGTGACGAGTGTCGAATGATGCAGGTGGAGACTCCATTTTACGACGACGACGACGACGACGACGACGACGATATTTTACGGTCGCACTTTTATTTATAAGGGGATTGAGAGTTGAAATAGGGTGAGTTATTTAACCTTAACGGTCAGTATTTTTGAAAATTTGGGATTGATGGAAGCAGATTTATCGAATGCAAATTTAAGTTAGGTATTTTTGACTACATTGTCCGCAAAATGCTATTTTTTGTTTTTATTTTATATGAATACTACGCTAAAACGTTAAAACGCTGAAATAAAATATAACATCATTTTACGAACCATTGTTGCCATTATTACTGTTAAATACTAGCCTTCATTACGTGGTTGTAGCATACAACCAATTAAATAGCGTTGCAGATCATGCATACGTTATAGATAACAATACAATAGGGGCAAACAACCACAACGAGTTATAGACGTTTCGTGACTCTATATGAGACAAAAACGTAACGCCATGGGGTGAAGTGTCGCTATACAATAAACCAATAGATAGCACGTAAGGAATACGCAACCACTAATAATGCCAAAACAGTTGCGTCACTTCACCTGTTTCGTACTTAATAGAAAAACATAACCCTCCTCGAAATTTTTCATTTTGTCATTTCGTGCCACATATTATAACTTCCAAACCCTACTCCTTATTTTCTTGGATCACCATTCAAAAAATCACGTTACAAATTGACAATAATGATCACGGCGTCTGTCAATGCCGGCTCCAGTCTCTTATTAGAACCAGCACGTGAGCTTCAATTCCCATTGCCCGATGTAACGTCACCACATCGACCGCGTTGTATTTTAACCCTTACAAATTTATCGGTACTAAATGACGTGGTTTTTCGGGTCCGAACACGGGATCCCGATGCTTTTACAGTACGTCCGACTCATGGCTTATTAGTTCCTGGTACAAGCATGCAAGTGATTGTCACAGCTACGACAAGATCTTGTCAACGTCTGGGAGCTTTGGACCTTCGGGACTTGATGACTCGTCAATCGACCGAGCTTTTTCTTGTTCAAAGTGTCGAACGAGAGGATGAAGTGCAAGCGATGGAACCTCTGGACCCGAATTCCAGCACTTCGTTACGTTCTTTTTGGAAACATTTAGCACGGGAGTGCGTTACCGAGACCAAGTTGATTTGCAGCTTTGTGGCGGCATCGTCAGACGTGTTGGAGAGCTCGTCGACGAGTAAAATGCATCTCTCACGTAGTCTCGGGAATGGAAATTTCTGCTTACAAGAGTCTCAAAGTAGTCAAAATGACACGAAAAACTATCGTATGAGTGCAAGGGAACCCCGATGGAATCGCAGTGGTAACAGCAGTAGCAACGCATCTGATGAAGCATGTAGCACTGAATTTAGAATGGCGGAAGAGCCGAAGGAACGCAGTCGACAAGAATCTTTTATTAGTGATGCCAGTTTTCATAGTGCAATTGAGCCTTCTGTGAAGATGGATCGAAGACTGGATTCGAGGACTTCGGCTTTGGCCGATTTCGGGCTTTCGAGGACAAGATTACGTGATGGTGCGTTCAGTAGCAGTAGCCTGAACGACAGCTTAGTCAGAGATACAAGGGTGACTGCTCAGACTACATCATCTACTGATATGGCTGTGAAGACATTAACGCGTAAGGTTGGCCCGCTGCTCTACCACATTCAGCCAGACGATATACTTTCTTTCGATGTGAAGCCTGCACCGCGTTTTTGGGGAAGCAAGTCGTGTTTTATCGTGAATTCAAGTCAAAACGATTGCTTAATGTTTAAGGTGCGGACGTCTAACCAATGGGGATATGTGGTGAAGCCAAGCCGAGGACTTGTGTCGACTACAAATGCACAGGAAGTGGTTATCTCGCTTTGTGCACCTCGTGATGGAGAGCGTTTTGACCCCACGGAGCGTGAGGCAAAAGATGGTTTTATGGTTGAAATCGCAAACATCTCGCGGGACAAGTACGACGATCTAATAAAGCTCGATGAACGGAAATACGTTCACGAGATAAAATCTTTGTGGTCCCATTTGTCGCGCAACGATCGTCAGTCAACAATGCTTTCAGTCAGACTAAACATGAAGAACAGCCATAGCGGTATTGGCATTAGCGAGCTCTCTGAGAGTGGTAAATCTGATTCTCGAAGCAAGGTCAACAATAGCAGGACCGACAAGCCGCAACGAAAAACATTGAAATCGGTCGTCCAGAGCTTAAAAAAGCTTTCGACCCTGTCATCAATGGGCGAGTCACATGGGAGTGTAGCAGAGAACAAGATCAATTACGAATCCTCGAACTTGAATGAGTCTGCGTTCACCATCGCGTCGACTTCTGTGCCTGCTGAAGTTGACAAGAATGATAGCGATGGCAGCGAAGTATCTACCCCAGCTTCCCATGCTTCTCGAAACGCAAAGGTATTTGTCATTTCAGCTGACCGGATGGATACCGTTGACTTTTCCAACCCAAAGTTGTCATTCTTTATTTAGATTGTAGCAACAGTATTGAGCACGCTTGTCTTTTGCGACTTCGCATGCAGCACCTTCATCATATGCTAACAATGTTTACGTCTCAACGTTCACCAGTATCGATCTAAAGTTTAAAAGTATGTAGATTCATGAAGGTGTGTATTGTTGTTGTGGAAAACCAAGTCTACGTTTGATTGTATGTAGAAAGTGTTGTGATGTAGCTAAGGCAGTTGATGGATTAGCCAACGCGTAGTCTTACTAGTGGCAGTCTATCTTGGTCGTCACGATGCTTTCCAACTTATCAAGGACCTTGACAGTCGAGGACGTCCCCAGCCTATTGATGATGGCCGCTGGGATATGTCCAGCCAGGTCAGCATGTGCAAGGAGAGTCGCGACGCAGTACACTTTACCGTTGGCTTCTTTAAATTCTTCAATAATATAGCCCGAGATGTAGTTGTTGGCACGCACGTATCCCTCAAGAGGGGTGATATCTGCCACATTGACAGAGCGTGTAGCAATGATGATGCGTCCGTCCTTTAGCGTCGTGGCATAGGTGACCACGAGGAAGTCCCGACCAGAGATGGGGAACTGACCCTTGCTAGTGATCTGACGGAGGGCCAAGTGATGTGATTCGCCCATGTCACGCAATGTCTCAATGCCCTCCATCATCTCATCCAGCTCCAGTGTACGATTCGGGTCCAGCAGCACTTGCTCAATGACGTGCTTGTTGGCTTCAATGCGACGAGCTGCACGGAATGGACACCAGTCACAGTCCTTGACGGCTCCACGCCAGATCTTGATAGCTTCCGTATCTTCTACAATTTCCCATGTTGTGACCTTGTCGTCACCTGTATGACGGTCCAGTAGAATCTGAATGCTTTCATTGCCGAAAGCTTTGAAATCCACATCGTCGGCCGTGGGGTACACCGACTCGTCAGATTTAATCTCTTCTTCTGTTGGTGACGATTCACCGCTTTTAAAAAGAAAGTTCATCGTTTACTTGGTGCAATGAAGAAGGACGGGTAAAGACAGAAGGGTGATTGGTATCCGTTAGGCGGAGGGAATTCGGAAGTGATGAGAGAGATCAATGGAGTCTCAAGTATTGATTTCGAGGTCAATGGCAGTCAATTTTCACTGACCTTGAAAATCCTCCTAGATATGTGGTTTTGATGAGCTATATTAAGATTATGTAACGAATGACTGGCTACTCGTTCTTAAATGATGTTGAGGGAGGGGCATGATGTCTCATAGGACTTTAACGGATGATGCGGAATGATCGGATCGATTGGTATTGATTGTAGTCACGCAATGAGGTCTTTATTTTTGTATCGATCTTGATGGGTTCAATTTTCGAAACGAAACATCACTTTGAAGCCCTCTTCAAAACATTGACAACTTCGTGCGACACTGCTGTATTACAGTAGTATATCAGTATCGCATATTGGAAAACTCATTCCATAGTCAGCCATGAAGCCTGCAAATGAAAACTATTAAGCCCAGCACTGGCGCATTACAACTGACAGACTAAATACGTTTTGTATCGATTCGCTAGCGAGCTGTCGCGTGCATCTTTAGTAACATACATATCGAGTTCCACATATTACAACATTATAGCCTACAAGCGGTTTATCAGCCGATTCTACCTCTTCCTCACTAATTCTATGTAGGCTTTTGCTTAATCTGTGCGGGCAGGGGGGAGACAAACGTGCAAGCGAGAGCCTAGCCTCTTTGTGTAGGTGATAAAGACGACGAAAGTGACAATGGAGTCACATAGCTCGCCATCGTGGTAGCTGCGCCTAGTGACAGAGCTATCATATAATGGACTCTATAGTCGCATAGCCTGCTTGTAAACAGATGGACTATTGCCGCTCCATTTTCTTACAATGCTTTCGATATTGTTATCAACAGAGTAACACCACAAAACAGGATAATTGTGAATTGTAAGATCGATAACTAATTCCTTAGTAATCATTCATTACCCATTCCACTGCCCAAGTTGGCCTTATGCAATTATTCGATGGTCCCGCTGTCTTGACGTTATTTTAGCATATACGTAACTTAAGCATCCTCTACGTAGCAAGAAAGTGTTGCAACAGTCATCTGACAATGCTTCGCAGCCCGTGATATTAGCTGACCAGGACGGACATCGGGTAGAAGAATAAGTTATAAGAAAGCGCACAAGTTGTCGATGTCCATGAACTTTCACGTCATGAAACTACAGCAGAACGTCACTGAACTCATCGAGCCCTGCACCGGATGGTAACAAATTGCCAAAGACTGCAGAATCACCAAGAATGCATTAGGCAAATGAGCTTCCTGTGCGTTCTGACGAGCCTCGCATCGAGCTACCTCGCCAGATAGCGACGTCGAGGAACATGAGACGAAGAAGATGGCTGCCGCGATATTCACTAGTGGTAGGATGCCTTCCGTGTGGTATATACGGACACTAGTACCGCTTCAACGATAAGCACCTGTCAACAGGGGGCGACGACTGGGTTTACACAGGATACTGTGCCGTCGAATCGATGTACTGATACTTTCCCTGAGCTACGACCAAAGTATGGAAAGTACAAGGAACACCTTTTAAAAGCGGCCGCAAATCTTCTTCTTGTAAGAATTCCAGGAGGCACTGCAGACTTATCAATCAGACACACCCGCCGACAAACAAACCCAGACGACAACGACATAAGTGATTACAACGAAGATTCGATGGAGAATATGGATATGACATCACCGAATACGAGGAATCTATGAGTGCAATGAAGATCTCAGATAGATCTGAGCACAAATTAGCATCGAAACCATAAGAAAATGATATAACATCTCTTTTTGAAGAGACTGCTCTGCCAGGAGGTATGCTACAGATAAAGCCACAACTTCGTTTTCGAAAAACACGACGGCGAAGATACACTTACAACTTTGACGACAGCTTCGCTAGGAGAGACCACGTATGGCAGCACCTACAAAGGGGACGAACAAATCGCCAAGAGAGGGTGTTATAAACCGTATGAGAGCTGACACCGGTTCCATCCGAGTTGGATAAAAAACCCGACCCTGAGGCGGGGCATTGATGTGACAAAGCAAGCGCAAGCGTCAGCTACAACTACACCCTAACGCAGGACAACACTTATCGTGTGTATAGTCTACCGTACGACGTACTTCTTGGCACAACAACTACAACCTAAGGATCGATAACGACGACTTGAACCTTTGCGACGATGCAATTAAAGACGTTGGGTACTACGACCACGGTCAAAGCCAGAGCTTAAACTGTCTCGACAAGCAGTTCGTTCAACGACTTAAGACCAGACGCCAACGCAGGTATTGCCGTTTGTTGCGCGGTATCGTCGTTGTCGTCGTTGGTGCGGTGCCATTTATGCAAAAGACTGGTCCGTCAAATTACGAAGAATTCGAGAACGTACACCAGCGATTTACGATGGTATTGTTGCTGATGTGATGGAGCTAGTGAATTATGTGAGTCGATGTGTTGTTATTGCTAAGCGGTAATGCTCAGCAATAACAACACATCGCTACACCGATCAAGAGTTCTGAGAACTTGCTGTAGCAGGCTTTCATAGTGACTCAAGTGTCAGCAAACATCAACTTGGTATGACGTTTTACTATAATGCTGAATACCACTATCGATTGGCTACCTAGTGAAAAAGGGATCCGATGTGAAGCCATATGGATCGTCCAGTTCGAATCCTTTCCCAACGGCAGAGACTCGCTCAGTACGATCATGATTACGAGTGCGCGTCACGACAGGTATGTGGTCAATTTGTGTCAAAGAGTATTTTATGACCGGACAAACACTGTTTTTTTTACGCTGGTATCCGGCGTTTTTTGTGATTTCCAATTTAAACATATCTGTTAATATGTACTATCCACGTGCCCTTCTAGTAAATAACCTTATCCTCTTTTCGAATACGAACATATCTGTTAATTTCTAGTATTCAAGTGCTCTTTTACTAAAAAACCTTATCGTACGAGTCACTATTGTAGCAAATGGATACAGCTGGGAGCGACCCGACGTATAAAATGGTATCGCCGACTACTTCATAAGCCAACTAACCTGATAGTAGCACAATCAGTTCGATACTGCGAGTCGTTGAACGCCTTTTGATCACCAGGTACAGCTCTAATCGGTTCCATAGCTCGCAATGAAACTCAGGGCATCTCTATCGCTGCCTATTGCGCCACCCACCAAACTGCGACGTCACAAGTCGGTGCAAGAAAACCAAATGAGTCGTGCCTCTTCCTTCACCAAACGACGCAATGAGAAGCAGCCACAGCGTCTTATGCAGACGATGGAGCAGACTCTGATGGATAATGTACATGTGGAATTTGTCAAAGCAGTGGTACCTGGTCGGAACAAACTTGCCAGTCCTCGGTATATTATGCGTATCAGCAACACGGCACTGGACCAAACGTGGGAAATGGCAAGGACATTTAAAGAGTTTAGCGAGTTGAAAGACACGATTGTTTCTCTCCTCGGGTATGGCCACTTCTGTCACTCGAATTGCCCATGGCTCTATATGTACGCCACCCATCATTTTCCACGTCGTCGCATCTTTCGCTCGCGAAGTCCGTCTGTAATTGCAGGCCGTTTATCGGAGCTCCAGACGTATTTTTTTACGTTATTGCGTATGTCCAAGCAGAACCGCAATCTCGACTGCGCAGTAGCTGCAACTAAGCTACCACAGCTCATCTATGACTTCCTGTTCGAGGGCATGGTCTTTGATCGTTCCGACTTTATGCGGCTAAGCGAGCGTCTCTCGTTTGCTGGTCGAGATAGCAGTTTTATCGACACTTACCCGACACAAGAGACGGAGGAGTGCATTATCTGCTGCAACGCCCTAGTTGGTGATGCCACGGTGTCAATTGTACCAGCAGCTCTATGCAGCAATCAAGAGCTGACGAGCATGGATAAGAAGGTTAATGGGCATGTCACGGCGGGTCTCACAACGCTCAATTGCGGCCATTGCTTCCACGATGAATGCATTCTCGCAAAACTCAACGAGTCGTTGACTTGTCCGCTCTGCCTAGCGCCTACAGTTGTTACAGCCTAGCTTTAACAACCCCTATAGAGATACTCTATAGGACCATGCTTACATGTTCATAGACAAACCAATTGGTCGTTTGCAACACAAAATTTTTGAGGTATCAAAAGGTTCAGCACACGTGTACAGTACTCTATAGTTACATAACTGAGACATTAAAAAACGTAGATGGCTACATCATTATGATGTGACGTACATAACCATCCGCAATGAAGCGTGTCGGTGTGCGCAACCAAGAGGTGAGTCTCTTCTGTCTGTTCTCTTCTGTCGTCCCTCCTGCCTATTATGATAGTTTAGAACCATCTACAACTAGTGCACTATCTTTGTCTTATGCATATGCTACTCTTTTTTGGGGTGAAATTACTGCAGGTAACAGACGCACAAGGACGTCGACGTTTCCATGGAGCTTTTACTGGTGGTTTCTCTGCTGGATATTACAATTCTGTAGGTAGTGAAGAAGGATGGACACCTCAAACGTTTTCATCTTCTCGTGATAAATCGATCATCACGAGTTGAGCAACGTCCTGAGGATTTTATGGACGAGGAAGACGATCCGCTGCTGGGTAAACGACTTGAGACATCGGAACGCTACGATACGTTGCAATTGGCTTCAAAAAATCGACTTAAACAGCAACAACAACCAGAAAGAGCTCAAGTTGCAGCTATTCCAGGGTTTATACTACCTGATGACTGGGTTTTGTCGGTTAATGACTCGATTGGAGTTAATCTCTTGAAGCAAATGGGCTGGAAAGAAGGATACGGTATTGGAAAACGTATAAGGAGATACAAGTTTCAAGAAGAAGAAAAAGAGAGGGGTGGAAATGTGATGCAAGATGCTGATGCAGATAAAACGCACATGCAGCTACAAGAGAAAGCTGAAGAGGAGATCTATGTGCCCTCTAGAAAGGTATTTGACGTGCAGAAATTCTTTCCTAAGCCAAAGTTGGACCGGCATGGAGCTGGTTTTGACCCGTATACAGATGCGCCTGAGTTCTCAGTGTACAAACAGCAGCAACAGGAGAAGGAGGAAGAAGGGTCTTACCGCCAAGGAGTGTCGTTTGTAGACGCGTTGAATTCTTCGAACGGCAGTAATCGTGTGACAAGTGGGTATGGCTTAAGTGCACTGGAAGAAAATGATGACGTGGATGTATACGGAACCGTGTCAATAGCTGAGTATGATCGAGTGATTGCTCCTCTTGGAGCTAAAAGTAATGTTCAGCGAATTACTTCGTCAGCACAATCATTTCATCGGCATGAGAAGACAAGACGCAGCAAAGCGTTGTGCTCAGACGGAATATCTGTGCTTTCTGGCTTTGAATTGGCGGTTTCCAAAGAGAAACCACCAAAGGTGATTAAGATGCGTCTCGCTGTCCCTTCCGGATATACTGCATATCACCGCTTTGATGAGGATGAAGACCACGGTGATGCTGTAACAGCCTTATATCGCAAGTTTAATTTCTCGACTGATGCGACTAGCAACGGAACATTTGTAACAGCGAAGCAGAGAAGTGTTCTGCTCGAAGGTAACAGAAGAAATGATCAAAGCGACGCCGATAATGTTAGGACAGGTGCTGATGACGTTGCGAAGCCCGTTGGAAGTGTATTCGATTTGCTTGGTGAAAGTCAGAAAGCAAAACTTTTTGATGCTGTAAAGCAAGCGAAACAAAGGCCTCCAGTGTCGCGCTTAATGCCTACTGCTTCTGTTGACGAGCCGGCTTCACCGAAAGGCCGGCAGCCATTAATATGTGGCAATAATGGCGACCAGTTTCGAGCTACTATCTCTGCATCCATTGCAAAGCGATTCGTGTCTTCGAAGTCCTCGAATAAGGAGGGTAGAACCGACTCTTCTCCAAATGATGTCCCACAAGCTAAGGTGTCACGCCGATCTCAAAGTTTGTGGATTCCCAAATCAATATTGTGCAAACGCTTTCATGTGAAGTGTACGGGGCCAGTTGGATCTAACGGAAAAGATGACAAAGACGACAAGAAGCGTGATTTGTTTGATGAGGAACTAGTTCCACATTTGATGGAATATGCCGCTGACCGCGCAGCTCACAAACAGTTAGAGGCCGATATGAATAAGACCTCCAAATACAGTGAAGTTGTTGAGGTCGAAAGAGCAGAAAATAGAGATCTGCCAGTATTGCCTGCAGCTCGAAAGAGTTGTGCTAGTCTACTCAAATCTATTTTTGAGCCTTCGGACGAGTCGGATTTGAGCAGAGACAGCAGCGAAGTTGAAAGTGACGATAACGATAATGACGGAAAACGAGAAGAAGCGCTTGGCGAGAGTAAACAGGAGTCTCCGTCTAAGCTGACATTTGGAGCGCATGTCGCGTTGTGTAGCGGTGGAGACGCTGGAGAGTCATTGCTTGTCGCTGCTGAGGGATACCGAGACATGTCGAGTTCATCAGACGATGAGGCGACCATTTCTACAGCCTCTGCTGCATCTGGACGTGTCAGAGAACAAGTGAATCGACACAGGAAGCGGTCTCACAGTGTTGACACTGGCGATGATCGGGATGCCAAAAGAAAACCAAAAGAAGAGAAGCGGAAACACAAAAAGCATAAGAAACATCACAAGCACCGCTCGTCAAGCGATAGGAAGGACAAGAAGGAGAAAAAAGAACGAAAGTCGCATGAATCCCGCTCGTCAAGGCACTCCAGGCGAAGTTAAAGCGTTATACAAAGTCCATGTCGCCGTGGGAGAACCATCAGACGGGATGGATGATGCAGACAAGCGTTACGAGCGTAATTTCGTGTATCAAAAATGATTCAAAGACGCATTCCTAACATTTCAGACACACAAAAACTTCAGCATGGCTGCATATCAACTCGTTTGAAACAAATGAAGTCAAATATATGGAAGTCAATACACGATAGACGCATCTTCTATCGAGTCAAGCACCATTGCATGGCACACAAGCTCATGTGTCTCCTAAGGAAAATATCCTGGCCCATGTAAAGCTTGCCACAACTAAAGCAGCCGTCATTAAATTAGTCAAAAGTTGTCTTGGAGCCCTTGAAGTTCTGGATAGAAGACGGCTGGCGTTTAGGTGGGCCATCCCCACGACCACCAAATCCACGGCCGCCGCCACGACCACCGCCACGACCACCAAATCCACGGCCGCCGCCACGACCTCCTCCACGACCACCAAAGCCACGGCCACCACCACGACCACCGTCAAATCCTCCACGACCACCCAAATCCTCCACGACCACCACGACCACCGCCACGGCCACCACCACGTCCACCAAATCCACCACGGCCGCCGCCGCCGCTTTGCGGCTCGCGAGACTTCGCGTAGTTCACGCGGATGCCACGTCCATTCACGTAGGTGCCAGCAAGCTTCACAGCTTCGTCAACAGCCTCAGTCGTGGCAAAGTCAACGTGTCCGAAGCCACGGAACTCGCCAGTCTCACGGTCTGTAGCCAGACGGCAGCTCAGGATCTCACCGCACTCGCCAAAAGTCTCGTGAATGGTGTTTTCATCAACATCCCAGCTGAGGTTGCCAATGAACACGCTTGTGCATCCCTCTGGTTTCTCGTCAAACATGCTCTTTTTCTCAGCCGTGCGTATCTTCATCCAGCGGCCACCAAAGTCCTGACCATCCATGGCAAGAGCAGCCTCAACACCTTCAGCGGTCGAGAACGTCAAGAATGCTGTACCAGACGAGCGGCCATTCTGTAGAGGAATGCGGGCAGCAGTGACCTCACCGCAGCCAGCAAAATGCTCCTTTACCTCCTCCTCCGTAGTGGACCAAGGCAGACCAGCAATAAAAATCTCAAGAGCTTTTTGCGGATTGGCAACAGCAGCAGCATCACCATTCTCTTCTTTGTGCACCTTGTTGGACTTCTCACCAGCGTCCGAATTCTTACGTTTCTTTGCGACAATAGTCGTCTCTTCCTCGTTCGAAGACGAGTCCGAATCAGATGATGAAGAAGAAGACGATGCCTTCTTCTTAGCTTCGACCTTCTTAGCAGCAGGCTTTTCCACAACCTTTTCGTCCTCCGAAGAGTCCGACTCCGATGAAGAGTCAGAGCTTTCCTTCTTCGCAACGACCTTCTTGACTAGCACAACCTTCGTCTTAGGGGCCTCTTCCTCGTCCGAAGACGAGTCTGATGAAGAGTCAGAGCTCTCTTTCTTCGCAACAACCTTCTTAGTAGTGACAACCTTTTTCTTAGGCGCCTCTTCCTCTTCCTCTTCAGATGAAGAGTCTGAGCTCGAGCCTGAGCTCTCCTTCTTAGCAACCACTTTCTTAGCAATAACCTTTATAGTAGGTGTAACCTTCTGCTTAGGGGCCTCCTCTTCATCAGACGAAGAGTCCGAGCTTGAGTCTGAACTCTCCTTCTTGGCAACAACCTTCTTAGTCACCACCTTCTTCGGAGCTTCCTCCTCATCGGAGCTTGAGTCAGATGAGCTGTTCGAGTCCACAGGCTTCTTAGAAGCAGCCTTGCTGCCCTTCTTGGTAGCTACAACCTTCTTCTGTGGTGCTTCGTCGCTGCTCGAGTCCGAGGTGCTGCTGCTGCTGGACGCAGGCTTTACGACAACGGGAGCTTTTACTTTTCTGGCCATTGTGTTGTATGTAAAGAGATGGAGAAAATATGGAGCTGCTGGGGCGCCGAGTGATTAATAAATGATCAGCGATGAGTGCTGCACCACACCGTTGGTTGCCAGACGCCTGATAATTTAATGACCAATTTGGTTGGTTTAGCTTTGACGGCGATAATAGGGACATACCTTTGATGGCAATAACCGTAAAAAGTATTAAATTAAACAGGAGATTAAGTTTCGAGGAGCTTTGGCAATCGTATAGTAGCTATCATGAGATACAGTATTACAGGTATTACAGGATAGGAGATAGTGTTTGCAACGCGGATACTGTACAGGTTGGCTGCAAAATGTTGTGCGATGGTAAAGTACGTTGACATTCAAGCGACCTTTAAGGTTACAACAGGTAGCTTTTATGAATGTGTGGTGCACATGAAGCGAAGGTTTTTCTCTCAAGGGGGCGAGGTTTTATGTATCACTTGTGGATCGCATTAATCAGTCTAAAAAATCGCAAGCAAGTCATGACATCAAATAGTGGCGACGAAAACTCTTCGACGGATGCAGTGGCTACACACATGACAGTAGAAGACGTTGGAAAGGTGGAAGACTTGCAAATAGTGGGAGAAAAACGTCATGAACGTGATGAAGATATGACATCGCTGTTACCGACTGTTCCGGATACTGAAGTTGATGACGGAGCCGCTTCACAGGACTCACAGGCCACGCAGGACGACGACATTCACAATGTTGTGGCTACAATGAAAGAGGCGGTAGGAGTTGACGTGGTTTTTGATGCTGCAGCAGCAGCTGCTGCCGTTGTCCCGCTCCCAGAAATTATGAAGACAGAATCGTCTACGCCGGTACAAGACGCAGTGGCAGCTGCAGCGGCTGCTGGCATTGGCGTAGACCCGAACGGCATTGCCAATGTCAAGTTTGACAGCAAACGGATGGCGCGTGTGTCGTTTAATTCGTGGTTTGATTTCGACTCGTACTTTGAATTGTACATGCAAGAGACATACCAGCCGTTTCGTATGCGCTCGTCCTGTAGTGTCGAAGCTTATCGTCGTAATCAACAAAAGGTTATGCTGAACAATAAAAGCTCACGTGGACGTCGAGCTGAGTTCCCGGACGAAGCGATACACCACCATCGGATATACATGTGCACACATGCAATGAAGGCACGTTGCCGTGGTGCTAATACCCGTCCCGGGCAAAAGTACCGTGGTATTGGCTGTATGGCGAAGATTAATGTCAAGATTACGCCAGCAGACAACCCGTCCAAGTATATGGTGATTGTTACTGATCAGGTAAGAACTTGTAGTGGTGGAGAACACAGAGCTGCGTTGCCATTGACACCTTGTTATTGATTGTACTGCTGCTGTAGGTGGTGTCGCACAATCACCCGGTAAGCCGTGAGATCTACGAGGCGTACCCAGACGTGTTGCTTAAGATGATGCGACGTAGTCAGCTATCCCAATCGATGCTCGGTCATCCACCTCCACCAAAATTCGAGACGCCTCAACAAACGCAAAAGTACGAGCGGGCTATGAATACGTTCCAGTCTGTAGCAGAGACCATGGCTCGACTTAGCGACGAGGACTATGAAGCACAACTTGGTCAGTTGCAACGGCTCTATACCCCTACTACGGAGCAAGATCAAACGGTCTAAGTAAAGTCAAACTGATGTTGTACGATATCGGCGACTATCTACCCATTTGGAAGAAATTGTCGCCTTGTGCAGCATTGCGTCATGTCGCAGCGAGCGGTCGGTTTATACACGCTATTGCATCTTTTTTGTTTTACTCAATTTTTGGTACGACACAAATTTTAGTGTTGTTTTTTGCGACTCGAAAAAAGGGGGAGGAGAAAGTCTGATTGAAAACAATTGAGCGTGTCTTTGCCGTCTTGTAATAAGCTTTTCTTGACCGTTGGAAATGACAAGTAACAATGTGGATGTGGCACTAGCGCCTAATTCCAGCGTTATCTTGGAACCGGGAGATTCTCTATCGTTTCATTTACAGCCACAGACGGCACCGCAAGCAGTACTAACGATCCGAAATGTAGCAGACGATCGACAAATTGCTTTTAAGGTGAAAACGACACGGCCGTTACGATATTTGGTACGACCGAATCAAGGACTATTAGGTCCGAATGGATCAGCGTCGATCATGGTGATTTTACAGCAAAAAGACTGTGATGAGTTGCTACGTCTTGAACCAGCGGAACGTCAATTGGCAAACGATAAGTTTTTGGTACAAAGCATTTATGTGGAAGACAGTTTCTATGACCTTGTGAAGACGAAATCAACTAAGGAAATGGCAGATGAATTGACAAATATGTGGGCACGAACGGACAAGCGGGCGTTGTCGAATAAGAAGTTACGCTGTCATTTTGTGCAGGATCAGGAGGATATGGAACGTCCAGTGTCGCCACTAAATCGGCAGCAAACGACGTCGGACGATGTTTTATCTGCAAAGACATTGACTATGTCTGATGCTAGGTACCAATCTAGACCCCGTGATGAAGAGGGTACTGAAGAAATGGCTACGACAGCTGCACAATTGTCGTCTGCATTATTGCAAGAGGACAAACCACATGTGGTAAAAGTGGCAGAAAACAGGGAAGGAAGTAAGGAAGTGGGTCAGGAAGTGACATTACGTAAGAAATACGACGAGGTGAGTGAAGAATGAAATGAGGTCGTGTCAGTGGGGGTACGAGACTTAGTGTCGGTGTTGTGTAGTTGGTGGCATTTACAGTACAGCTAACGGCGCAGCGCGAAGTGTTGATAAGTGATCTGGACAAGACGCGGCAGCTGCTGCAAAAAGCTAGCATGGACGCGCAGCGTGTGAAGAAGCTCTCGGAGGAGTCGTCAACGTTACGTCATCGGAAAAACGGTGGGGCCAATGGCGTGTCTGGCAGTGACGACTCGCATGGGGTCATGGGAAAGGGTCCGAAAGAGCAGGGGGTACGTACAACTCATCGATGGAAAGACCGATAGCATTTTTGTATCTCATTGTTTTTTTGCTATGTCCACGACAGGGATTTGGACTTTTGCATCTGGTAGTGTGCGCGATCCTTTTCTTTTTAATTGGGCGTTATTGCTAGGGCAGGTCGCCGATTTTTTGAGCGTTGGATTAACTGTAGGAAGAGACAGAATTGTTGCTGCAACTTGAAGATGTGGACAAAGGAGTACTAGAGCTTTCTGTGCATCCATGACGAGTCGTGCTTGCATAAGGCTTACAGTTGAAAACTTGCTTTGCTAATTTTAGTGGAAAAATGAATGAATATGGCAGCCCACTGTTCATGTCCGAAGCAAGAATAGGGAGTCTCGTAAAAACCCTGCCCGAGATCTTGGTGGTGCATAAGGCATGGACCTCAGGATATTCAGCAATGTCATCCATTTGACCCATTGACACTCTTGTATAGCTGTCGTCTGTGAAAAGATGTTGACTAGTTGAGAATAGCCGTGACGCTCATCTTGCGCTTGCCTTTCATATCAAGCGGCGCGCAAGCCTTGCGCTTCGCGCTTCGTGTGCGACAACTTTTTGCAGTGCTGTCGCCACCGTCGCTGCTGATTCCAGACGCGCTATCTTTCATGGTAAGCATGGCAATTGCTGCAGCATCACTGTCGGACTGCGTTCTCGCTGAAACAACACGCAATGGCAATGAAGGGTGGATGCGCTTGTCTTCTCGAAAGCGGTCACCATAGCGCTCTGACACTTCTGCTGCGTCATCATCAGGAAAACCTGAGTCGTCCGGATTATCATCATATTCTCCATCGCCGTCATACGCGCTTTCGATCTTTTTCAGCTCCCTCACATCATCTCGAAGTGCATTCACTCGCACTAGTGTGACCGAATTCCCAAATCTTGGGGAACATTTATCGACTGCGACTCTATCCCTACGTCCTTCATGACGGCTGTCACTAGCACCAGGAGGTGTGTGACTAGGCGACATATTCAGCGAGGCAGCACTGCCCAAGGAAGCATTGTCTCTTTCAACACCACCAGTAGCAGATCTTAAGCCACCAGATACATCAGCTGAGGAAAAAGAGCTGCCACCACCTCCGCGTCGGGAAGACGACTTCTGTGCATCATGTTGTTCGATGCTCGAGCCCGTTGCTTGCATGAAAACATGCTCCAAACAGTCGATCATTTGTAGCAGTGGCTCGTACGTTGCAAATGGCTGCTTCATCAAGATCGTATGCATAAACTTGTTGCGAGTAGCATATCCCGTCCACTTGTCATGTTTTTTCAGAATCTGTACCGCATAATTGGAAAAATAGAGTGAGTGCCTATACGAGACGCATCACCTATCTTGCTCATGTGATCAAATAAAAGCATCAACCTTAGAAATACCGCAGAAATTCATCACGGCAAAATTCTCGAGAAGCAGCAACTCTTTATACAGTGCCACGCAGTCCTTCATCAGTCGTGTCTTGGCTTCTGTTGACTTGGGGTTCGCCTGAGGTAACACCACCAAGAGATTGTAAGAACACCATCATCTTCTCCACATGTTGTGTCTCATACTATTTTTTGGTACCTGAAGTTGTTGGAAACTAACATTAATAGCCGTTACTTGACTCGTGTGTTTAGCTTGTTCTTTGATAAAGAAATCAGCAATCTTTTTAATCTCGACGCGTAACGTGCGAAAGAAGTTCATCTCATCCTGTGACTGACCTAAATACACGTCCATGAACACAAAAAGACATACATAAATACACAATCATACGGTAGAAAGCATTAGTCAACCACACGCACGAATGCTGTCATTATCCTCTTTGGCTGACGGCTTGATCTTGATAAGTTTGTCGCCCTGTAGTTTCTCCTCCTTCTTAATCTGTGCACAATCCTTTATGATCTTCTTAAGTAGCTTATAGTCAGCCCAATAGATCTCCCACGCATTCGGTGACATTTGTGTCGACTGTTGCAATACTTTGCCAAACTTCATTGCGGTGCGTGGGCGGTCTTTTATTAATAAAGTCTGATGAAAAGATAAGTGATATAAATAGAAATAGAAATAGAAATATGTATATTGATATCGATCTAGTCAGCGAAGGGTGTTAGGTCAGGGAATAGGTCTTCTTTTAGGTAGCGGCAACTGCAGTCGAGATTCGACGAAATAAAAAAACTTGTCAAATGGTGTGGTTGGGCTACGATAGAATCTTCCCCCCTTTTCTGCAATTATCACACAACGTATACTATTTATACTATCACAAAATTATGCGAGCGAATTGTTGAGCAATACTTTTTGTCGATTATTTTTTGTGTATAATAAAACACTAGCACATGAAAATCGACACAGTGCTCGTCTAAAACAATAAAGTTGTATAAACTTAAGAATTAAAACCTACGTAACAATTTAAAATACTATTTTGAATCTAAATCTTATGCCGGTATCTTCTTTTTAGTCGTGCAAGACGCATTTTTGCGCCAATCACGGTGCGACACGGAGCTTGTCGTCGGCAAACTATAGTAGCTTCATGTACATTTAGTACATGTACTTATTCTTCTTATAAACCTTTTAGCTCTTACGTACTGTATCGACAGGTCCGAAAATCCCTTCGATATTATAAAAGTAAATTGATTCGCTGCAGTAAACGACTGGTAGTGCTGCCCCTTTTCTTCCTGTGTATCCGCATAGACGTAAAACGCATTCGAATAATTCTGGTGCTAAGTACCGCATTGACTACTATTTACGTTTACTTCAAGTGTCAGTAATCAATAGCGCAATACACGAAGGTATAGTATAGTTTAGTATAATCATTTGTACTAGTTGTGGTTTGAAGCTGCGTACTTTCGTCGTATGTTGTAGTATATGAGACAGGAGAAGGGCTGGGTTTCTGAAGAGCACCATCTATACCGTTCTTTAGATATGGAAGCGCGTTTAGACCACGCATGATCATAAGAGGTAACAGCAGCCAGCCAGTATAAAGTCTACTGATGACCCTCAAGCCCCTTACCGCCAGTTTACTATAGGAAGATCGCACAAACTCTTATAATGTGGTAGAATAGTAGCTGTGTGATGCTTCATTGTACAGCAACAAATACACGTCAGTGAGTTGTTCTAGAGCAAGTGGCAATGCTGACAAATTTGTTCGTTACGAAGCACCACGCACCACATCACATAGTTTACACTTGGCTTTACTTAGTCATGACAGTTAAACCATTTGCCTGTGTGCCACAGCGTAAAGAAATGCCGTCCAACCCTCACCATACGTCACATTCACATCACCTTAAAATTCTAGTACTAGCCATGCATTGATACCATTCAGGTTTCTATAAGATGCCGCGTTCAGGAACGTTCGCTACTGTGTGACGCACTTGGGGTTCGCCTACCAGCATCGATTCAGTGCTGCAATAGCGTCACTATATCGATGTACCTGGACTTTGAAAACTGTCAACTTCACCATTCAGACCCAATCCATCATCGCTTATACCCCGTAAAACGTTAGACTGCCACTTCTTCACGGTCACTCATCATCATCATCTTCTCTATTCGGGCCGATTGTAAACGTTGGCGACCAAGCTTTCCTAGCTGCTCGGAGGGGACTTCCTTCGGAAGAAGAAGACAACGGCGTTTGATTTTCAATTTCGTTGCTGGTTAGCATCGACTCTATATCCGCAGGCGGAGCTGAGCTCGGAATGCGAGACCAAGCACGCATGCGCCACTTCGCCCAGATGATGACGCCTAACGCTACGCCAATTAGCGAAATGAGGATAACATTTGCGATAAAAGCACCGATATTGGAGCTTGCTTGCCGCGTTATCAGCCCGGCTGATAAACTTGTGGTTATGTCGATACTATCATTCGGCACCGTAGTTGAAGCAATTGGCGTCGAAGTTTCGGAGGTTCGCTGGTCGGCAGTATCTAGTGATACCCTGCTTGTATTTCTATGACGTTTTCCTACGTATCATCAAGGTCGTCAGCTCAGCCCGTCGAGCATCATCCTTGTTTTTTTATCAATGTGTACTATCGTACCACAGTGTGAATCGGCAAAGCCGACACGGTTGTTTTCCGTATCAAAGATCACGTCCAGACCGATCATAATACCTGCACCCAAAACTAGACAATGTCGAATGCTTAGGAGCTGGCAGGTACACAAACAAGTAATGACAAGCTTACCTCCGCCGCTACGCTCCGAGAAATGAACGTTACTGGAATATGACCCACCGTCATCAGCGATAGTAAGATATTTTGACGCAGGGAGATCGAGCTGGACGTCGTCACTGCCATCCCCTTTCATTCCTGAGAGTACAATCGATATAATTGGGAGGGCTTGTAACTCTTTGTCAGAAAGTTTCATGCGCTGTTCAGTATAATCTAGACCGCCTGCAGCACGTTCGAACGCTCTCATGAAACGGCGATTTCCTTTTGCAGCAAAGAAGGTGTCGGTTGTTCCGCTATCAACAATCACACCTTTGCCCGAATTGATCGTTTTATCATCAATCCCTAATGACACTCCGTTCACTAGTATATCTCTTACATGGACCGGGTAGGAGGCAAAACTGTCCTTGAGCAGTGGTGTATAAGCCACAGCACTCGTGTGGTGGCTGTAATCCACTCCACCAAACACAAGCTCACCTCCATCGCTGGCGAAGCACAGAGTAAAGAGATCATGAGTTACGCGACCTGCCTTCAGCATGTAGGACATGACAGTCGAGTGATGACGTCCAAGACCCATGATCCCATTTTCCTTTTGCGTAATAAAGAGGCCAGTCTCTTTGGTCTGACAGCCCACTGGAAAACGAAACCCGAATGTCTTTAGCACTTCATCCATTTCACCACTATGTGATGAAAGCCCTCCTACCCATACCAACTCATCTACCATGACAGCTTCCCACATGCTGCCTTCCGTGTAGCTCTATTCATTCACAGCAACGACATTAGTCACAAGGTTGCTTCCGCACTCACATCAAGAACCTTCTATACCTGGCTGATATAGCAGCGGTCTTGTTCACACGAACGACATGAATCAAAATCATGGCAAGCAAGGTATGCTGCCGTCGTTGACTTGGATACATCATAAATTGGGTCCGTATGCTGTCCACAGCCAGCGCACGTGCTGCATGGCAATGCTGTCAAATGACTACCAGTATCTACGATCACTGAAGCACGTTGTGCCGGGATTCCCAGGTAAATTTCAGCGTAATGGGTGCTACAGAGCCAAAGAAAGCATCAGCTCGCCACACTATACTTCGTATCATATGTACGCACGCACCCGTAGCCCACACCCAGTGAAGATTCACTCCATGCAAAAGTTACATTCACTATGCTTGCCTCTTCCAGTGCTCGCCGATGAGCTCGAGCTTGCTGATGTGCTAGACGATGAGGCAGTTCCATACTCGGCTGCTGTTGCTTGTAAAGTGGAATCTTTAACAACTTATGGGGCTGACCACTTACTACAACAGACGCATAAGTCCATATTGCAACAACAGCGACAGATGCCGTGCATCGAGACAGTATTGTCTTCCATGTCATCCGATCTGTTTCTAACCAATTGTATCGACAGACCATTGCAAACATGGCTAGCTACTACTAGTCAGTGTTACTTTAGTGAAAATACATGCTCCATTCAGTATACTCAAAGCCGGTCTAACAACGTGTGGTTGTCAATCTTCGACTCGTCCTGCATGGATTTTCGATCAAAAACCTCATCTTCCTCGTCGCTGCTGCGCTGATGAGCATCGTCGTCGTCCTTTTCCTCCTGATCCACACGCTGATGTTTCATTGAAGGTTTCTTCTCGTCATTGTGAGCGAGACCAAACTCTTCCTCCTCGTCTTCGTCTTCTTCTTCATTCTCCTCGTCGCCCTTGACGCGGCTCCACAGTTGATCTTTACTGGTCTTTTTTCTCCGTCGACTCACTGTAATTAGCACCACCAATAGGAAACCCACCACCAAGACAGCACCTACAATCGTGAGCACCAGTGGATGAGTGCCGGACACCTTTTCCTTTGAGTTTGAGTCCCCCATATCAGCTGAAGAGAAAGACTGAGGCATTGTCGTCATATTCTCCGGCATTGTCGAAATTGTTGGATCACCAGCACTTGGAGCAGCATTTGGGGCTGCAATATCCGAATCCGTCGTTGTCAGTGGTGTCGACGCAGTCGTAGTTGTTGGGTCAGAAACAACTGGAACGGGTATACGTTCCACATTTGTCTCCGCTACCGACGGAGACGTGACATCGGATGTGGACTGGACTGCCGGCGCTGGGCCAGCAGTTGACGCAGAGGTGTCACTGACTGCCGGCGTGGTGCTCGGTAAAACAGCGATTGTATCTGATGCGCCAGCAGTTGGCGCAGAGGTGTCACCAACTGCCGGCGCGGCGCTCGGTAACACACCAATTGTATCCAAACCTTTCGTCATCTCCTTCCCTTCGCTGATACTTGTAGTTTTGTTGCTATCTGATAGAGTTATAGTTGGCTTAGGAGCCTCCTTATAGGCGCAGTCAGCATCCACAAAACCCACGCGCTGGTTGCCGTTGTCAAAAATTACGTCACGGTTCATCATAAGGCTGGCGCCAATAACACCACCAGAGTTTTCCGACAAGTAAATGTTACCACAGAAATGGCCACCAGTACGCATCAAATACTGCTCAGGTGGAATGTTTAAAACAACTTCCTCCTTCTCATCACCGTAAGCTTCCATAACGAGCTGGATCGGTGGTAGCGACGCCAAATCTTCATTCGTATAGCCTTCACAAGAATCGCCCGTCTGGTAATCGCGGCCTGAAATTTCCTTGAATAACGTCATGAACTGAGTTCTCATCCTTAGTGGAAGATACGAATCGGTTGTTCCGCTGTCCACAATAAAGTGTCCACGAGTGAAATCCTCCTCGTCGGCGTTGATGGATTTGCCACCTATTCGAACATCCGTCATGTGCACACTATAGAGATGCCTGTTGCGAAATGACACAGTCAAGTAATTAGAAAAAGTTTAGAAATCCTAAGACAAAAACAAAGCTTACTTACGCGTCAGAGCGGTCCGGAATCAATTTCACGTACGAAATATTACCTCGGTGTGCTACTGTGTGAGGCTGACCTATGGACATAGTTCCACCGTCTTCAACAAAGCAGAGCGAGAAGAGATTGCTCGATATCTTCGTTTCACGGTACAGCTTTGCTATAATGTGATGCTCCGAGTTCGACAACCCCATAATGCCGTCCGCCACCTGCTTGACAAACAATCCCGTCTCTGAGCTCTGGCAACCAAACTGGAAAATTGTTCCATATTTGTTACGCATTGCCATGTCCTGAAAGCTCGATTCTCCTCCCAAGTACACCACATCCTCGACCACTGTAGCTCTCCACGTGCTACCCTCCAAATACGACTGGGAAATTGCACACGCGTTCGATTTCTCTTGGCAATCTTTGCATTTAAAGAAAGTTTCCTGGGAACATGTGACATGGACCAATGTTGATGAGTTATCGGCAAGAAAAGGTTGATCAGTGTGATTGCCACATCCATCACAACCCGAGCATGGAAAGGCCATTAATAAACTGCCCGTGTCTACAATCACTGAAGCTCGCTGTGGAGGTGAGCCTACATACACCCACGTATAGTGCGTCCTAGTCACAAATGTGTCAGATTCTTCAATAAATTTCCACTATTGAACTCAGCAGGTCACAAGCAATTAACATACCCGAGTCCCAAATGCAGTGGCACGACTTCTGGTGCTTTATCTTGAGTATACAAACGTCTTGCGTATTTCTCCGGATGGAAATCATTGGAAATACGATGCAATTCCATAGTCATACTGGCTGCTAGTGTCGAGAGCGTCAAAATAGCCGCTAGAAGCATCGAAATGCCAATAAATGGACGCTTCATGCTACTTTAAGCGCTAAAAAAAGTCGTGGTGATGAATCAAGAATATTGTAGGCCACAAAGCCAAATTGTGACGTAATCTGACCAATAGGTACGAACAGTCTTAAGGTATGAGGAGACAATCCTGATCGTCGATGGGCACGTGGCAGAACTTTTTGATTTGACGACCATGTACTAAAATGACGTTAAAACGTACCCAATTTAGTGTTTAGTTTGGGTTTGGGTTATTTGAAATTTTGAAATTTCAGTACTCGCTATAGATTTTCCGAAAAAAGCCGGAAAAAGTATCTCGGAATCCGATCGGCACTGCTGCATCATCGGTATTAACCACTGCGAAATTCGATAAGTTACTAGAGGTTATAATCTATTGATCAATAGCTTAGTGAGCGACCACCTCAATAAGCACCTTCAGTAAATTATTTAACACTCCGTCATTCTATGCTCGCTAAGTAATAGATTTAGACCCAAATGGGCAATACAACTGGGAATTTAGAGTACTCATCCACACGTCAAGGGTATGACTGCGTTGCGATTATCAAGTTAGCGGATGTTGAGGACTCGTTAAGCAATTTGGTGACTTTCCTGAAATACATCGGGCAGGGAGTAGACATTACGCAGGACGATGGTCTTTTCAGGTTTGGCGAATAATCCTGCGACGGGTGCAACATTACTTGTTAGTCCACGTTCCACTTATGTCCTCCTCTTCTAAACTCTCGTTGTCAGTCAGCTCCAGCTGAACACTCTCATCTTATTCGATAAAATCAATAAACTTTAAAACTGCCATGGGATCACAGACACCCTTCTGCTTAAGCTTGGCTCTCAGCTCCTGCTCCAGCTCGATCTCCGCCTCATTAACCTCCTTCGCGCCATCTTTGTTCCTCTAGCACATCCGTAGCAGATGGAGCAACAGAAGGATTAGCAAACAGCCACATGTAATATTTTAAGACGTTGGCAATTAGCATGGCCGAGATTCCGTTCCTTGTAGATACCGACCGGCGCAGGGCAGTAGCTTAATCGACTTGGAGAGTTTTCCGACCTTACCACGCTCGCCGCAATGCATTAACATTGTAATGGTAGCGGCGGTATTACCGCATGTGTGATTTAATGTGGTTTACCAAATTGCTGATGTGATCCCGACTCTTTACTGACGTTCGAACGACCTCTTCAACGGAAGAAGTACCCATTCATAGTACCAAGCCTTCCTCACCTTGTGTACCTGTCGGTTGGTCGGGTTGCACTCTTCTTAGTGGACTTAAGTTGATGTTGATCCTAAAGTGATAGGGATCCGAGAGGGGGTGGTCGTGTAAAAATCTTTACACAATCGACCGGGTACTTGGAACGCTCTTCCCTTTCGATCGCGGTTATCCAATAAGGCAAGGATTAAAACTTCTGACCACTTGAGCAGAACCTTCTGACCACTTAATCCGTCCTGCACCTGCCTTGCCTTTCTTTGTAGCTGCGTTCGATCACAGTCGTATATGTTGTCTAAAAATTTTTTGTAATCTCTGCCCACCTTCGCAAATATCCTTACTTTGTTTATGTTTTCGTCTCTAAAATCTTTTTGCTGTGCAATGGTCCTGTCATGCTGTAAGAAACACACATTGAACAGACCATAGGTTTGACTCTAGATTATAATCTAACGAGGATTTTACTGGTCCCATCTATGTTGTAGTATGCAAACTAAGGACCTATTATACTCACTTTGCATTTTGCCAGTATGTGCTCACAAGACGATATACTTTAACATCATCTTCAAGCTTGCTGATGGACAGCCACATCGTGTTTTGCGTCATACAGTGTGTTGCCGTGTAAATGCAACGGATGCAGAGCAATGTTTAATGTTTGGTATACGAGATAAATTACGCATTCGATTGCATTTTAGGGATACGATACTAGGCACGCGGTTGCTTATGTCTACAGCAGCCCAACTAGAGCCAGATGGGCAAACGGAGCGCGCGAACATATGCTTAAAGATGTTCTACGAAGCTATGCTACATTGTTCACGTCGTGGACTTCGTTTTTGCTTCCTCTTATGGAGTTTGCATTCATCAATGCCGTGGATGTGTTAACAGAGGTGACGTCAATTTTTGATAACAACGCCAGGCACCCTCGCGTTACGGCACTTCTTGATCTCTCAGCTTCCAGGCACCCAGTCTGCAAACCTAATGAGGGATTATCTTCCAATATCCAAACATTTAATGATACATCTATAGTGTTGCTGCCGATGCAATCTTTACCGTTAAATTTGTAAACAACGATATTTTGGGACCAAACGCGGTGCATTCTGTCGCGTCTCCAGCTGCTAATTTTGCTTCTTAAGAGTCCATTTCGCCTGCAAGTTCTGCGCAGAAACTAAGTTCCTGCTATTGCGACACAGCCGTCATACGTATTGTGTGAGATGCACTTCAAGAGGCTCTCGATAAGCAGAAAGATGACTCAGAACAAGAGGTAAAAAGAACACGTTTACTTTATAAAAAAGCGAAAAGATTTTGTTGTCAGCCAGTAGACTGCCTAGCACAGCAATTACAAAGTTAGGCACTCGCAGATTAGTGTCACGCTTTATCGGTTCTATTCAGTATAATAAGGATCGTGGTGATGCCTACTTGCTAGACTAACCAACCACTATGCGTTTGCACCCGACTCCTACTTTGTAATGGAGCAACCTATTACATAAGTAGTTATAGAAATAATACTTAATTACATAAGTAGGCATAGGGCAGTGTCCGATTAGCGGATACTGCACGTCATTTTATTATTGGTTTATTATTGGGGTGCCAGACCCAATGATTAGCCAACAATAAACTGACTTCCATATTGAGTGGTTCCCATGGCTAGGGAACATATTCGCACTTACTGCGAATTAAAACTAAAAAAAATAAAACAGAGTTATATTTACGAGTTAATTAAGAGCGCTTCCTCAACGCCCTTTTAGTGTAAGACGGTAACGGGTCCTTAGTATGTTACACCTGGTAGCACTTCGTAGTCCTTCCAATGACCAGATCCGAGATGAACATGGGCGAGTCTTCGGTGGCTCCAGCGGTCTCGCTGGAGCATTCTAATTTTTCACATCTCACCTCAGTGGAGTGGCAGGCACTACATCGCCTCGCGGCGGTGTCTGGTGAAACTATTGTGACGTCACTGCTGAGCACAGCGACGCCCGATGATCAACGGCCGCCATCCATTTTATGGTGCGCGAGCTCCCCGAAGCGAATCGGCGAGTATTGACTCCCTCGCGCACTTCGCACCATGACGCTATCAAAATGGAGACGTCAACGTACTCCGGTGATGGTCCGGATCGTCTCCCCCTTACTCGCTGGTTTCGCGAGGTGGATATTGCAATCGCGTCAAGATTGATTGACGCTCCAACGGCCAAGGTCAATTTCCTGCTGTCTAGGTTTGTTGGCAAAACCAAGGAATGGGCTCTTGGAAAGCTCGTCGTAGATGAGTCGGCGTTCCCCACGCTGGACGATATCCAGCGTGACTTACGACTGGATTTCGAGCCTCCTCAAGATGAATCTCGCTGCGTGCCGATTTCTTCTCACTCCGACAGGGCAAGCTGTCGATGCGTGACTACGTGTAGAAGAAACGTCATCTTGCTTCGTGCATTACCACGCAGCCGATCGACATGGCTTCACAAGTCCATGTCTTTATTTTTGGTATGCAGGAGGGCATGACGCGTTACTGCCTCACTCGTGCTGAACCAAAGTCCCTTGAGGAGGCATTTGCCCGCGCGCTTCGTGAGGGTTACACTCTCGCGTCGTCGTACCTGCACGCAGCGTCACCAACATCCCCGGAGATCTGGCCCAGAACCAATGGAACTTGACCTCTTGCGGCAAATCATCCGGCCGCGACATGCGCAATCCTAACACGATGAAGTGTTTTCGCTGTGGTAAGACAGGCCATCATGCGGCTGTCTGTCGAGCACCTGCGCCGGTGACTATGAACATAGCTGTCTCACGAGGAGACGCTATGTCGTCGGTGGTCCCGCCAAAAAATGAGCGGTTCCAGTAGGCGCGAGGCGCCCTACTGGCAGAAATGGAGCTCCGAGTATTCAGGTGGCAGATTGGGCTCTTAGCCCCAAAGTGATCCATAATCACTTCAATGCCATTACCATGCGCGATGATTCGAGACAAATTATTATCAGTCTCATCGTTGCTGGAGTGAGCGACCATTCCGAGCGTTGTTGGATTATGCCTTATAACAACTTCTTTCGTGCATCCTGTTTGCCCCTTCTCCCGTCGAATGTCACGGTTCGAGAATGTCCAGGTGACATCGTTGTCAAACTTCCCGATGGACAACCAAAACGTGTCCCGCGTAAAACAGTGGTTTTACCGCACACTTTCGACGGTTTCCAGAGCAACGACGAATTTTTGGTGTACGAGATGAATTATGCATTTGATTGAATACTTGGGATACCGTGGCTGTCACGGTATCAGCCGAAGATAGATTGGCTATCTCGGTCCGTCAAACGACGAAGCGAATATGATGTCAGTGAAGTTTTCACTCAATTGTTGGTCGCGTCATCCGATCGACCCCACGTCAGGGTCGTGAACGAGCTCGCCACGACTAGTAGTCAACACAGAGATATCGATGGCCCTCTGTGCGCAGTATGTTCCTTTACACTGATGAAGCCACAGATCGAAGAGGTCAAACAGCGGTTCCCTCATACACAGACATCGGACGAGCAGAGGATCCCGGTTAATATCGAGGCGGTCGAGCAGGGGCTCCCGCAAACAAGTGAAGCGGTCGAAGACGAGCTCCCGCTTTTGATTGACGAGAATGGGCGGACTATGGATCCGCATGAAACCGACGTGGTGGAGACTGACCTTCCACGTCTAGACGGGAATACATCATCCTCCTGTGATAGCGACGTGCCAGTCTCGAGCAGTGGATCGAGACGCAAAAGAAACTGCAAGAAAGAAGCACGCCGATCACCGAGACGACGACATTCACGACAAAAAGCTGATGCAGATGATTTCGTAGTGACGGAATCCGTATGCGCG